AAAAAAAAAAAGAAAATATTTAACTTGGGAACCTAAGCTCTATTTATGAACAGACTTTGAAATTCCGTCCTGTAGCTTAATTTGCTTTGAGACAATAAGTTGATTAGGAGGAGAAAGTCCTTCGGAACAGTTTGTCCCAGTTGGAAATAAAAAAAAGTTGTGAAACTTCTGTATAGCTGTATAGAAACTTTTACCCATCATCTGTGACCCAGTGGTGGGACTGCGTGGGAGTATTCTTGGACCTGTGTGTGTGTGTGTGTGTGTGTGTGTGTGTGTGTGTGTGTGTGTGTGTGATCGGACCTGATCGGGAGCAGGCTGCTGACCCCTAGCCCAGCACAGGCCTTGGTTAGGCTGCAGGCGCCCTAAGCCCACATGGCCCTTTCTTCCAGGGTGTCGTGGCTGCCGATGACCACCAGGTGGCAGTGCTGCCCAGGAAGACGCTCGGTCGCCGCCTCGTGGCCAACAGCCAACACCACACCATTCCCCATTTGAGCGCGCCGCCACCGCCCACCCGCCTGGGGAACGCGACCTGGCAGCCCAGGAACGAATATTCAGATTCTGGGGCCCGAAGAAAACGTCCCAAAGTCCCCCTTGCCCCCAGCTGGTAGAGGATCGTTACCCTCCCACCCTTGGTCCCCTCCCAGAAGGGGCTCCCCAGACAGTATTGCGTATTCAAGGCTCCGGACAGGGGTCAGCCCGGTGTCAGGCCGCCTCCCCTCCGCTTGCCCCAAGCTGGGGGACGGCTCCAAGGTGCCACCAGGACCATCCCGAGGGGCGCAGAGTTTAAAGTGCCACAGCCCAGCCCGGATTGCTGAACACAGCAGGGCATTCTATGAAATGAATGTTTGTGCCCCCCGCCCCCAGATATATATGTCAGAACCCGTGCTGGGCCAGGGGTCAGCAGCCTGCTCCAGGTCAGGTCCGACCACACACACACCCGGATCCCATCACATGGGGCTCCGCCCTGCCAATCAGCCAGCAGCCCCCCTTCCCCGTGGGACACCCGAGCACACAGGACAGCTGTGTGCCTTCCCCGAGGTCAGCACAGCGGGCAGCAGGGGCTGCCACTCAGTTGGACACCCGGGCCACGTCCTCAGAGCTTCGGCCAGGACTAAGGATGGAGGGGAGTGGGGCGAGGGCCACACCCTGAAATGGTGTGCCCCAGCTGCCCAGGGAGGATGTGAGCCTGTGTGGACCCAGGTGAGAACTCAGCTTCTGACTTGCTGGGTGCTGGAGGAGGCGGCTGGGGGCATTGGGGAAACTGCTGGAAGACAGCTAAAATTCAGCGGGCTCTGCGCTTCCCTGCCGCCCTCATTGCCTGGTATCTCGCCAGGTGCGGATTTCCTTTATTTGCCTGCAGTCTGCCCCCACCAATCAAATGTGAGCTCTGCTGGGGCCCCGGCTGGCGTCTTCTCTCAGTTCAGCCTCTGGGCCCAGCACAGGTCTGGCGCAGCGCAGGCAGCGTGTGTCTGAATGGCACCTGAGTGGATGCTGATTTAGTCGGCTCTGGCTGCTATAACAAAAATGTCACGGACTGAGGGGTGCACACAACAGAAATTTATTTCTTGCAGTTCTGGAGGGGGAAAGTCCCAGGCCCAGGTGCGGGCAGATACGGCGTCCAGTGAGCACCCTCTTCCCAGCTCGCTGTGTCCTCACACAGCAGAGTAGACAGCGAACATCCGTCTTGTCTCTTCTTCTAGGGCACTGATCCCATAGGAAGGCTCTGCGCTCACGACCTAATTACCTCCCAAAGGCTTCACCCCCTGCCCCATCGCCTGGGGGTCAGGGCTTTCACATACAAATTGGGGGGAGGGAGCGCATTCAGTCCATAGAAAGAAAACCCTGCTGCGATTCAGCCACCCAGGCTGGGCTGTGGCACTTTATACTCTGCCCTTAGTGATGGGTGTGGGTAGTAGCTTGGAGAGGTCCCCCATGCGGGAATGGATGGCCCCCACCCCATGAAAGGGATGGCGGTGAGACCTGCTTTGCAGCGAATGACCTCCAGTAACTTGAGAGAAGAAAAATCGTCCCACTTGTGACCGAAAATTACATGACCCAAAATGGATCTTGAAATGTTCTGGAAACTCAGATTCTCTGTCCTCCTGTATTAGTTTCCTAAGATGGCTGTAAAAAATTGCCACAAACTAAGTAACTTAAAACCCAACAAAAATGTATTACCACAGTTCAGTTCTGGAGGCCAGAAGTTCAAAATCAAGGTGACAATAGGATTACACTTTCACCCAAACACCCTCCACAGCATGTGGTAGCAAACTCACTCCTGTGATAGCGACATTTATCCATTGATGTGGGCAGAGGGATTAAGTTTCCAGCACATGAAACTTGGGGGACATATTCAAATTATAGCAGATATCCTGAAACCAGGCGGAGAAAGCACCCTCTCAGTGCACAAATGTTAAGTGTCGCCATTGCCTGTTCTGAATGCTGCAAGGTTTGGGGGAAAGTCATAGCTGCTTCTTTAACTGGGTTCCTGATCCCTCTTGGCCTCTCTCTGCTCCCAGCCTGGCCTTACTGCCCTAGCCACACCTCTGACCTCCCCTCGTTGCACCAGGCAGGACCAAGTAGCTGTCCTCCAGAAGGTTGGTCTAACGCCCTGGGGTTGGTCCCTTGTCTTCCCTGCACCCACAGCCCCACAGTCCCTCTCCTCAACTCCTGTGCACTATGGGGCCACACCCCTCTCTGATAAGCCTTAATTTAGCATGGCTATGACCATGCCCTGACCTAGGATCTGGATCGAGCTGAGGGATCACATGAGTCGAGTGGCCTCATTCACTTGTTCAGTATTTCCTGACCACCTGCTGGCCTGGGCAGACAGTGGCAAACCAGACAGACATAGCCCCTGCCTGCCCTCAGGAAGCTGACACTCTGGTGGAGGAGAAAGGCCAATAAAAAACAACAACAACAACAACCCTCAGTGCTTTAGGCTCCATGACTGGGTGAGCTTGGGTGTCATGGGCACAAAGGATAGCACCAAACTAGTCTTTAGGAGCCAGGGAGCATTTCCCAGGCTCATCCTAAAGGATGAGCAGTCAGCCAGATAGTAGGATGAGGAACGGGTGGGGTAGTTATTGGAGACAGGCACGGAGTGAGATTTCATTCTAGAAAGATCACTCTTGCTTCCAGGAGAAAGATTTGTGCAGACAAAACTGGAGGGTCATTGCACTGTGGGGTGGGCTCACTAACATCCCAGGTGGTTTGGTATCAGCTTTGTAGGCTCAGAAACGTAATTCCTCCAATATCCAGCGGTAGGGGGTGCTGTATTTAGCAAATAAAAATACACCTAGCTAAATCTGAATCTCAGATGAACAATGAATAAATGTTTGGGATATTAATATATTCCAAATATTGGACGAATTTAAATTTTACTGTGTCTGATATTTTATTGGCCAACTCTACTTATAATGACAAAGTCTTCAAGACTGATTCATGGACACCAAAGTCACAAGGATCTGATAAATACAATAATTTATTGGTTTACAATTGCAGACAAGGGTAAAATATCATTATTCAGATTCTCCTTTCTGGAAAATGAAACCATCAAAAGATTGCTTGGTAAGCACAGAATGAGAAGAAAAGGACAGGAGATGTTTGAAAGGAAATTTCATCTCAAGGTATGGAAAATTCTAGAGAATTACCCTGGCCTTATGACACAGAATTATCTTTGGTGGCAGAATGGGCAGTACCCAGTGGAGAGGCTGGTCAGAGACTACCACGTCCTCATGGGCAGCTCCCTGTAGAAATACGCGGTTCTTCTGGCTCATCCATCACTTGCTATTTGTTGGCTGATTCCTTCCTCCTTGTACTCTCAGGGGGGCGCTTTCTTTCAAAGATTCGGGGCTCCTGGCTGAGCCTTACAATTATAATATAATGACATATATTTCACATTCGGGTTGTACTTTTTTCTTTTAAAAATGTATTTAGTGGGCTTTGCAGCCTTTTCTTGCATTCTTAGATCTATCTACAACGATAAAGTAATCTTTTGATTCAGAAATCACTTCAGAAACTTGGGGTACCCATACCCCAAGGCGTCACGTGCTCTAACCTTTATCTCTCAATATCCTCAAATCCAGTCCCTTCTCTTCTCACTGCCACTTCCCTGACCCCCGGCCGCAATCCTTGTCTTGGTTATGCAGCCTCTGAGTTGGTTTATTTGAATCCACTTTTGTTCTCTGATCTATTTTCCCCGCAACAGCCAGAGAGGTTTTTCACTGCATCATACATGGGATCACAGTCCTGCCGCGTACACCTTGGAGGGCTCTCCACCGCACTCGGGCACAGCAACTGTCAGGCCCGTCCTTTTCATGACCTGTCTGGCCCGTGTGGCCTCTGACCCCTCACCTCCCCCACTTTGCGCACAGTTCTCCCTCCCGTCACTTCTAGAAGGGGCCACGATCCTCACTTCAGGGCTCCGCACCCACCGTCCCCTCTGCGCCTCCACACAGCCGCTTCCCACTGCTCTTCCCCCCGTTAGGTTCTGAGTAGTGCCCAGCACACAGCAGGCGCTCGATAACCCCCGCCTGCCTAACAAATGAACGAGGGCCGCCCGCAGTCCGCCCAGCTCAGGACCGCGCTTGGGAGTTTCCTGTGTGCAGGTGGGACTAGCATTTAGCGCTCAATTCGCTTCCTCGCCGTTTCCGCATCCAGCTCCCCGCGGCCTCCCTGCAGGCGCCATCAAAAACCTCATCCTGGGGAGGATGGAGGCAGTTGGGTGCAAGAGAGCCCGAACCACAACAAAACCTCTCCTCCGAGGACCCGACCCGGAAATGAATTCTCTGCAGAGACCTCTACCCATGGTAGGAGGTGGGCCGGAAGTCTGCCTTGGGCCCGCCCCTGAACTGTCATTGGGAGAATCCTCGTCAGAGGGCGGGTACTTGGCCAAGTCCTGGTTCCGTATTGGCTAAAGTCTACGGAGCTCGAGGAGAAGGTGGAACCTGGCCTCCTGCGGAACATTCATTGGCTAAAATCTCGGCTCGGCCCTCGAGTTCTCATTGGCTAAAGTCGAGGGTGAGTGGTGTCTTACTGTTCGCGTCTCGCGCTGGCTGGTCTGAGAGACAGCTTCTTGCCCCGCCCTTCGGACTAATCTAGATTTTTAAACAAAAAGTGAAGGCTTGGTGGTCGCCTCTCGGGTGTTTGCTCCCTGGGAGGGTTGAGTCTCGCTGAGCTCGGGGAGTTGGGGAGACTCGAGCGGTGAGAGATCCCGGAACGAGTCCTTCGCGGAACCATTGAGACGGGGCCTCTGGGAGCACTTTGAGAGACGGACCGTGGCGGGCCTGGCCAGACCGGCGGGGATGGCGGCGCAGGCGGCCGATGCGGGGCTGGGGGCTGCCGTGCCCGTGGAGCTACGGCGGGAGCGGCGCATGGTGTGCGTGGAGTACCCGGGCGTGGTGCGCGACGTGGCTAAGATGCTGCCGACTCTGGGCGGCGAGGAAGGCGTCTCCCGTGTAAGAAGCTGGGAATGTCCAGAACGCATGGGGAGGGACCGAGTCGCCGGACCACGGCCCAAGGGGCGGGACCACTCAGGGGAAGTGTGGTTTCCTTAGCAACGGAGAGGGTAGCTGGCTCTCGGGCGGCCGGTGGACTGGGGCTTTGCTTTCCGTGATCGCAGGCAGTCGCGGGAACGGAAGGAAAGGATTGTAGGGGAGATCTTAGGGGCTCTTTTATATCCCATCCCCAAATATGAGCCGCAGCCCTCAGCATCCGTGCCATGAACGCAGCTCAGTAATAGCTGACATTTTTGTTATGTGCCATCCACGGTTCTAGCTGCTTCACTTACATTCCATCTTTCTTAGAACCCTGCCAGGTAGGAACTGTCAGTGTCTGCATTTTACAAGGGGATGAACACGACTTGTTCAGCCTCACACAGCAAGTAGGGGAGATCGGATGAGGTCTGTGTAAGATTTCTACATTACCAAATCTTGAAATGTCTGATCTTTAGAGAGATTTTCCCTGACCACACTAACTAGAGTGGTTTCCAGCAGTTATCTGTCTCTTCATCCTGTTAATTCCTATCTTAAATTATGTTTTTACTTTTTTATCGTCTATCTTGGTCCCTTGGCCCTGAGATTGTAAACTCCATGAGAGCAGGGACCTTTCTTGTTCTCTTCTGTCCTTCTAGTGCCTAGTTCTATGAATATTTGTTGATTGCACAACTGAATCTTCACAACAGTCTAGTGAGTTAGATACTATTTTTGTTTCCATTATTCAGATAAAGACACAGGTAAGAAAGGTTTGATCAAACAGCTCCTACATGGTACAATGGGGATTTGAACTCATCTGTGCCTTCTGAGTTCTTAACTGCTGCTTCCTCATCCTTTATGAATATTGAAAAGCCTTTTAATCATCTTTAAGGACAGGATACCAATAGAGCCCCAGTCATTCATGTTTTGTTCTTTTATACTAACTTATTCTGTTCACTCATAGCCTTGCTAAAACCCTTACTCTCCCTAACTGCCCAACTACAGTGTGAGCCCAGGAAGGGACCTTCATTCATTAATTCTACTCATGTGTCTTGAGCACCTTCTTTGTGCGAGGCCCACTGCTGGGTTCATTCCCACCCTATCAGGTCTCAGAGATATGTGTTTCATGAGCAGAGGAATTTCAGATGATCTTCATTCTTTCCCTAGTTAGATTCTGAACACTTCTTAAAGGCCCTGCCCTGTCCTGGGTATTGGGGAGCCAGCAGACTAGCACAAAGATGATTTTGTTCCAGTGCACATTGATGGTGCCTTCATCCACACACATCTGACACTCATTTTGTCTGTCTTACTCGGTGTCAGGCAAGCATTCATTCGTATGTAGGTGGCACGTGTTGAGTATTTACCATGAGTTAGGCACCAGGCTAAGTGATTGATGCATTTTTTTTTTTTCTTTTTGAGACAGAGTCTCGCTTTGTTGCCCAGGCTAGAGTGAGTGCCGTGGCATCAGCTTAGCTCACAGCAACCTCAAACTCCTGGGCTCAAGCAATCCTTCTGCCTCAGCCTCCCGAGTAGCTGGGACTACAGGCATGCGCCACCATGCCCGGCTAATTTTTTCTGTATATATTAGTTGGCCAATTAATTTCTTTCTATTTATAGTAGAGACGGGGTCTTGCTCTTGCTCAGGCTGGTTTCAAACTCCTGACCTTGAGCAATCCACCCGCCTCAGCCTCCCAGAGTGCTAGGATTACAGGCGTGGGCCACCACGCCCGGCCTATTGATGCATTTTTAATCATCTTAACAACCCTATGAGATAGGTACTATTCTTAGGGTTTTTAAGGAGAAGGACCAAAAGCGTCTTGGTATTCAGTCTCATATGCTTGAAAAACTATAGATCAGCTGGTGAGAGCCAAAATGGTTATTAATGATTGATCGATCTACTCTCCTTTGGACCTAGAGACATTTGCATATGAGACTGAACACCAAGACCCTTTGGGATGGGTAGTTCCTAGAGTAGGTAGCCCTAGGCAAGTTGCTCAAGCTTCCCTCCCTCTGCCCCACTTCCACCCCCACAAGCTTCAGTTACCTCAAAGGTAAACTCAGGGTGAAAATATCTCCTATGAAGTGTTGCCAGAATATTCCCATGAGGCTCCACACTGAACAGGCATTTGATAGACAGTGGCTTTTACATAATTAGTGGTTGTTATCTCCAACTTTACAACCAGTCTTTATCCCCATTTTCTCCACTATGTAAAAACTAAGATATTTGTGTTTTAAAAAATGAGTCTTTAGGAATTAAGAGCTCAGAATGAAACTAGGGCCTCCTGGCCCTTCCTGGGTCGCCTGGTTCACCATCAGGCTTTTGGTGAGAAAGGAGCAGCTCCTTGTTGGCCGCTTAGCTGGTCACCGCCTTACCATGTCTTCTTTGGCCTTGACACAGATCTACGCAGACCCCACCAAGAGGCTGGAACTGTACTTCCGGCCCAAGGACCCATACTGCCACCCCGTGTGTGCTAACCGCTTCAGTACCAGCAGCCTGCTGCTCCGCATCAGGAAGAAGACAAGGCGGCGGAAGGGGGTGCCAGGCGCTGAGGCCCAACCCGAGGTCACATTTGACATGGAGATCCTTGGCATCATCTCCACCATTTACAAATTTCAGGGTAACTATGAATTCTACTTTTGCAGTATGGGTTATCTCATGGCTTGCTATCTCAACTGCCTGCAGGAACCATATGGTCATCTGCACATATGAAGTGGGCCAGGACATACCCAGGCATAGGGGGCAGGGGCCGTGGGGAGCAGCAGAGCAGAGGCCCCATCCTGGTGTCAGCCTTTCTTCCTCCACTTCCAGCTGCAGGCTCACTGATCTTTAACATAGCTAGAAATGTAGAGTTCTATGATAAATCTCCTGTATCCTAATAAAATCATCATGTGGGGCCAAATAAAACTGGTCAGTAGACCTCCAGTTTTTGCCCCCCATGTTTTAGAACCTCTTCTTGGTCTTGACCACCACTGGTCTTGCTGCCCGCCTCCTCCAAAGCCTTCTCAGTCCACCTCGGCCCCTTGGGACCTCATGCTCCTTTGAACTCTTAACAGACTGCACACCTCCCATGGACATCCATGGACATGCACATCTTCTCAGTCAAGTTTGCTACCTACAGGGGACCCCAGAGAGGAGGCTGTTTGGTGGAGCAGGGGGCAGGGTAAGAAAGAGCACAGCTGTAGCAGTGTGCGTGCCTGAGCTCTGCAACGTCCTCTGGGCAAGAGCTTTGGCTTCCCTCAGCCTCAGTCTCCTTGTCTGTCCATCGAGGGCTGCAGGGCCCTGTAGGAGATGGGGAGACGATGCCTTAAGGGGCTGGGCCCAGGCACCTGGCAGGTTACTGGCCTTAGAAATGTTTGTGGTTATAGCTGCGGTTCTGAGGCAGATCCTGGAGGGAATAAAGATTGAGAAAGGAAAACCGGAAAAAGAAAATGAAAGAAGGAAAAACAGGACCTGGAGTCCCCTGGCCTGGGCATCTTGAATGTCTGTCATTCTGGTGGAACATGGTCTTCACCAAAGAGGGCTGTTCTTTGGGGACAAGGTTTTCCAAGTGATTCATAAAATCTTCTCTAGCCAAGGCAATAGAGCAAGATTCTGTCAACAAAAAACAAAGAAACGAAAATGTAAAACTTCACACTTCATATTTTCATCTCTCGTGAGCCAGCACCTTGCTACTCTGCGCGTTCCGGCAGCGGCAGCTCACCTGGGAGCTTGTTAGAAATGCAGCGTCTCAGAATCTGCATTTGGCAAGATCCCAGGTGATCGACATGCACACTGTCTTTAGCACTGACCTAGACTTCATCCTCGCCTATCACATGGCTCCCCATCCCCCAGAATAATGTTTATGTAAGTGACTTGGAGTGCACTGTGGCGAGTTCACAGAAGCATTCGTAAGGCATAGTTTCAGCTCCTGCCACGTTTCCTGGCGGCCTCCACCGCACGGCCCAGCCAGCACAGCCCTGAGAGGATGTGGGCGCCGATGCACAGCAGCCGCCATTTCTGGAGGGGCGATCCCAGCCACAGCCTCTGCCATGCGCCCGCCTCTCTTCCCAGGAATGTCCGACTTCCAGTACTTGGCTGTGCACACGGAAGCAGGTGGCAGGCACACGTCCATGTATGACAAGGTGCTCATGCTGCGGCCCGAGAAGGAGGGCTTCTTCCACCAGGAGCTGCCGCTGTACATCCCCCCACCCATCTTCTCCCGGCTGGACACCCCAGTGGACTACTTCTACCGACCAGAGACGCAGCACCGGTAAGGCCCTCCACACTGTGGCGGCGGGGTCAGAGCAAGGGCCTGGGACCAAGGCTGGACTCTACCACTCACTAGTGGGGCAGCCCTAGACATGCCACTTAGTCTCTCAGCCTCTGTTCTCCATCCTGAAAATGGGATGACAGCAGCACCTACTGAACAGAAGTATTAGGATTGAGTTTATTGATCTGTTTATTTAGAGACAGAGCCTCAATCTGTCATCTAGGCCGGAGTGCAGTAGCATGATCAGAGCTCACTATAGCCTAGAACTCTTACCTCAGCCTCCTGAGTAGCTGGGACTACAGGCGCATGCCACCATGCCTGGCTAATTTTTTCTATTTTTTTGTAGAAACAGTCTCACTGTGTTGACCAATTTAAGGCTAGTCTTGAACTCCTAGCTTTAATCAGTCCTCCCACCTTGGACTCCCAAAGTGCTGGGATTATAAGTGTGAGCCACCGCTCCTGGCCAGGATTGAATTTAAAAAGCACACGTAGCTCTCAGCGCAGGACCAAGTGCAGAGCGACCCCTTCATAAATGGTGGCCTGTGTGATCCCCAGATCAGCTTCCTGCCCAGGGACTCCTACCGTACAGAGAACTTGGCTTGAGGGAAAATGTCCGTTTTGGTTTAGTCCCCTGGTCATTGCCGACCAGCCACTCTCTGGACCTTGCTGTCACCAGTAATGACACTACTTTTAAGAAAGGCCACCTGTGAACGTCCCACTCTGACCCCAGGCCTTTCCCACTTCCTACGCCCCTAGAAGAGATTTCATGGCCATCTTCATAATCCATCTTTCCTCTGCCCGTCTCCATTTGCCACACTCCCTGCAAAACCTCGGCCCCCGTTCATCCCACCTGTTTGCCATCTCCTGGCCTGCCCTGTGTGGCTGGAAGTGGCTTCAGAGAACCATCCAACCCCTGGCCTGTCTCCCGGTGTCATCTTCCTCAAGGTGTGTGTGACTGTCTACACAGATCTCGCCTGTGGTGTACTTGCGTACAGTCTGCGTTCCCTCGGGAATGTAAGCACCTGAGGACGGGCACGTGGTGTCTCTGGAATCAGTGGCTTCTTCTACACTAAGGGTTGTGAGAAGCCGGATGGACGTGGCTCATATCCCGTCCCCCACCCGCCTCCACCTCCACCTCCCAAATGCACATCCCTGCCCAGACCACATGTAACTCAAATGAAATGAATTCTTTAATTTAGACGCTCTCGACATAATTAGGGCCCCCAGGGATTGCTGGGAAGGCAGGCCTGGGCATTGTCAAATGTTGGTTTTTAAGCTGGAGACCAGCCCACATTGACACGAGAGAATGGGATTTTCTTTGTATAAAAGCCAAGATTGAATAGCATGGAAAAAAAAATGAAGAAAATGAGTTTGAAAGTACCCACCTTGAGATTAATAATGTCCACCACCTTCACTGCCAAGCATCCCGCGCCCATGCGGCCGGGCTCTGTGTGCGTCTTCCCCGCTCGCAGTGACTCCCCAGGGTCCTGTCCCCCGCGCTGCGCATGTGAGGAGGCGAGACTTGCGCTGCCTGCCCACGTCCCACCGTCTTCCCGACTGCGTGGCCTTGCTCCTTGCTCGGTGCCACACTGTTCTCATTTTGATGTGCTTTACTTTTTAAAATTACATACAAAGAGACAATTTTTAAAACTATTTCTCATTTTAATGTCAGCTCCCCGAAGGTAGTGATTGGGCCTGTTTTCGCCTCTGGCATAGCCCAGTGCCCAGAGCAGGGCCTGGCCTGCAAGAGGCCCTCGGTGAGCATCTATGGGCCCGGTGCAAGGATTTGGGGAGCAAGAAAAAGAAAAGGAAAAAGACTGAAACATGCCCGCAGAGGTGCTGTGTGGTGAAAACTTGCTCGTAGCATGTTTTAATCTTCCAAAAGTGCAGCCTTCAGGAGCGTGGGCTCTGAGGACTGATGTAGCACATGTCCCGGGGCCTCCCTTGCTCTATGGAAGAGGCAGGTGTTACTCCAGATTTTGTGGAATAAAAATAAACTGTGGCTTGATAATAGAAGCCTAGAAAAGTCTGGAATATTGGACTCAGCACACTTTTCTCTGAGGGGGTGGGAGGACTTTCTGGTTCCTCAGTAAATATTTCCTTCAAGAAGTCCTGACGGAGCCCCGGTTGTGGCCCAGGGCGCTCTCTGGAGCCTTGGGTCCGTGGACCACACGGCAGATGAGGGACCGCTAAGGGGCCAGGGAGCTGGACAGAACGCAAGAAGCAGAGGGGTGCCGGAAATGACAGGGAGCGGGTCGGATGGGGTGAGCCCGTGGGCCGGGCTGAGAGTGGACCTCGGAGGAGCTGACACCCGAAACAGACTTGAGAGAAAACCGAGCTGGGCTGGTGAAGATCCAGGGAGAATGTTCTAGACCAGGGGATCTGCACATGCAAAAGAAGCGTCAGGAGGCTGGTGCCCCAGGGCAGAGCGAGCCAGGGAGAGTGGCAGGGGAGGGTCTTGCAGACCACGATAAGGGGCTTAGATTTTATCCTCAGGAGAAGGTGTATTGCTCTCTGCCTTTGAAACGTGTGGAAAGGTCAGACATACCTCAGAGCGTGGCCTCCGCGTGCCCATCACGTGCTTGCACAGCGAGCAGCGTTCTGCCGCTCGTTTCCTCCTCCCCGCCTCCAGGCAGCCCTGCACAGCCTCCAGAAACGAGCCGTGCGCGTCTCCGGCAGGGAGGCCTCGTGTTTCAAACACGCCTGCAGTCAGGGTCATACCCAACAGATTTGACAGGGCTCCCTGCTACCAGCCGTATGTACCCTGTCCTTATTCAGTTTGTCCTGATTGTCTCAAAAGCAACTTAGGAGCCAAACGGGCCACACGCGTTGCTTTTGATTGATGTCTTCCAGGTCTGTTGAACTTATAACATCCTCTGCCACCCTACACACCCCCTTTTTCTGATTATAAGAGTAAATTATGCTTGTTAGGAAAGAAAAAAACTATGGAAATATATAACTAAACAGAATCAGGTCATATCAGCTTGCTGCTGAAAACCTTGCATGTAGAATGATATGATTTTCTGGTGTATTATACTTAGTATGAGAGTTTTAAGTAGAGAGTGATATGAACCCTTTTTAAAGTTAACGTATTTCTAAAATGTTTTGATTCCCCTCCACACACAGCAATTTACTCTTGTCTGAATCAAACGAAAATATGCAGAAGAACAGAGCACCCTCTAGGCTGCTGCACCTGGCCCTGGCTGGCAGCACCCCAGTCACTGCTCTGCCCCGTGGGGCCAGCAGACATCTGTTTCCAAGCCTCTGGGGCGGGGACCAGGCACGAGGGCAGCTGCCCTTGGCCCTTCTTCCTCCCCATGTGGCTTATTGGTTTTCCACCATGTGGGAAGAACCTGCCTTTTCTCCCAGGGCTGTTATCGATTCTTCTGCTCTGCTGGCCTTCCGGGTGCGCCAGGACTGGCAGGGAGGAGGCCTAGCCGCCACCCCGTGGGCCCCTCCCTGCGTCTGGGGAGGCCAAGGCTACCAGGCAGACAGAGGAGAGGGGCTGGCCTGGTAGTGTCCCTCCTGCTGAAGGACGTTGAGCCCCTTGTGTTCCTTAGGGGAGCCCTCCAGGGTGGGCCTGCCGACTTTGCCGTTATCACCCCCAGCCCCTGCCAATAGTTCTCCCCCTGCTTAGAATCACAGTGACACACCCAGACCACAGCCTGGATCTGCCAGAGGGGGCGGTGGGGGTGCAGCAGAGGCGGCCCTGGGCCTCTCCCTGCAGGAACGGCACAGGCGGGCTGCCTGGCTTTCCTTCTTGAGGGTGTCTTTGAAAACAGGACAATGTTGCACCTGCCTGGTGTTGTTTCTAATGAAAGCACATAAAATAAAAGGACACAATCTTGATTTCATCTTCTGAATTTTGTTTCCCAGTGTGCAAATCACTTCATTATTCTCTGAATGTGCGCAAAGAGTATGTGCGCATGTAGAAAATTAGGTGTTAACTATCTGAATGAAATTGTGTGATGTCCGGGACATGCTTTAAATGTATTTCAAGGGCCGGGCGCGGTGGCTCACGCCTGTAATCCTAGCTCTCTGGGAGGCCGAGGCGGGCGGATTGCTCGAGGTCAGGAGTTCGAAACCAGCCTGAGCAAGAGCGAGACCCCGTCTCTACTATAAATAGAAAGAAATTAATTGGCCAACTAATATATACAAAAAATTAGCCGGGCATGGTGGCGAATGCCTGTAGTCCCAGCTACTTGGGAGGCTGAGGCAGGAGGATTGCTTGAGCCAGGAGTTTGAGGTTGCTGTGAGCTAGGCTGACGCCACGGCACTCACTCTAGCCTGGGCAACAAAGCGAGACTCTGTCTCAAAAAAAAAAAAAAAAAAAGTATTTCAAAATGATTTAGTGGGTCAGGGCAGAGTGTGGGTGAAACAGAATCAGCCATGTGGTGACAGTTGTCGAAGCTGATGACAGGCTCACGGTAAACCTGGTTTATCCTGGTAAACCTGCTTTTTGTAAGTCTGATGTTTGACATCCAGCGTTAAAGAGGTGACCGCTACAAGCATTTTAGGAGAAACATCTGCCTAAGTGTGTTCTGCGTCAACACAGAGATTTCTAGAACCCTTTTTGAAGATTTTTTTTTAGAGCAATTGCAGGTTCACAGCAAAATAAGAGGAAGGCACAGAGATTTCCCATACACCCCCCACCATGCACAGCCTCCCCCACGTGGGCACCCCTACCAGAGTGGTGCCCTCGGGACAACGAACCCACCGTGATATGGCTCTGGGCAGGTTTCCTAATACCTGTGGCCTCAGCTGCTTCATCAGAAAATTGTTCCTTCCCTATAGGAGTGTTTGGAGGGTTAACTGCATGAGTCATGTAAAGGTTAACGTCAGTAAGTACAGCTCTTGTCACTACTTTGACAGCGGATCGTGTTCTCTGTGTGGCTGAGCCTAAAGTGATTTCACCATTCCTGGCTGATGGGCACTTAGACTGTGTTCAGTGTTTCACTGGCTGTATGGTGCTATTCATGGCTCAGTGCAGTTGTGAGGCCACCAGCCTTATGACAGGTGCCCTTTCCTGCACCCTGGCCTCGCCCGGGTTTTGGAGTTGCCATTGGCAGTCACGGCTGCTTCTCTTCCTTGGTCGTCAGCCTGAGAACACAGGTTCCTTCAGCAGCCAGCTTTGTAATCCTCTCCTGAGCCCAGGTTTCCAGGGAAAAGGCACACAAGCGTGTGCCACTGGGCGCCTGCCTGGTCTGGCCCGGCCTGTGCCTGGGATTGTCCTTGGTGCTCCTGTTCTTACCGGTACTCTTGGCCCCCAGGGAAGGCTACAACAACCCCCCCATCTCAGGCGAGAATCTGATTGGCCTGAGCAGGGCCCGGCGCCCCCACAATGCCATCTTTGTCAACTTTGAGGAGGACGAGGTGCCCATGAAGCCACTGGAGGCTGCAGTCCAGACATGGAAGAGAGTTTGCACCAACCCCATGGACCGGAAGGTGGAGGAGGAGCTGAGGAAGGTTAGTCCTGTCTGCCAGCCCCGCCGACGCCGGCCTCGGTTCTGACCGCTGTGTTTACCCAGCTGCTCCCGTCCCAGGTGGTGGCTTGGCTGCACTTAACTGTGTCAAACTCATTCCTTTGGTACATGGAATTTTTCACCTCTAGTTGTCACATCTGAAAGCCGAGTCGGTATAAGCCCTGCATTCCCAAGGTTGAAAAGACTTAGAATTCTTAAGAAGTCGCTTTAGGAGTGGTAAAAAAATTGAGTGCGCTATTCAAATGTGACTTAAATGTGGAGCTCTGGGACCCACTGAACTTTGAGCCAGTGGGCCCCTGCTGTGTGCCAGGGCCCAGCACTTTCTTCCCAGGAGAGCTGCAGCCCCACTGCTGGGCACCCACCTTCCCCTCGGGCTCGCAGGTGCTTTCAAGTCTGGGGCTGGGGCCTCTGGCTGTCGCGTCCCCTCAGGCGTGGACAGCAAGTTCACAGTGAGGCACTGCACTCTTCCCCTGCCTAAGCTGAAGTTACATACTGTTCCTGGGGGCAGACCGTGTGGGTACCTCGTTGAATTTCTGGCAGTCCCTGGGGAGCACTGTCTGTGGCTCTTTGCCATCCTCTGGACACAGCCCATGTTCCCAGACTGGCTCCCGAGGCCTTTTCTGCCCTGGCCCTCCTCACTCTGGCCACACTGGCCTTCTGCTGTCCTATCAGCCTTGGTGGAGTCCCACCTCAGGCACCTGCCCTCTAGGTCGTGGCTGCTTGGGGGTCCTGGAGCTCCGGCACGCCTCCCCCCACAACCTGCTCCCCCACTGCAGTGTGAGCTGTATGAGGACGGGGACCATGTCCCTTGTGGTCATTGCAAGGCCCCCAGGCCGCACACCTGCACATGCCAGGCACCAGCCCAGGCTTCTGAGGGCAGGAGGAGGGAGGGAGGGAGTGAGTGCAGGGGCTGTGGGGCTGGGCTCGGCCTGTTCAGCCCCTGCCCTCCACCCACTCCTCTTGTGCTGGGGAGCCTGGGCAGGAGGGTGGAAGCTGCTGGGCTCGTCTCAGCCTCTGCCCTTGGCCTTCCTCAGCTATTCGAAATCCGTCCCATCTGGTCCCGGAACGCCGTCAAGGCCAACATCAGCGTCCACCCCGACAAGCTCAAGGTCTTGCTTCCCTACATGGCCTATTACATGGTAAGTGTCGGCTGCACACTCGCCTGCATGGGCCTTGGTCCCTGATGTGACGTCTTAGAATTGCAGTGAGAGCAGGTGGCTCCTGTCCAACCCCCGCATCCCGCACCTCTCCCCAGCCTCGCACCCCAAGTTAGCTTGTTAAAGCCAGTGAAAAATGTTTCCAGCACCCGGGAGTCCAGGGGTCTCTCCACAACCTCCTAATAACTTACTTGGCCATATTTGGATGATTTGGGGATAAAGGATTAATTACCTGACTTGTAAGTAAAGGGATTATGCAACGTAGGATGACCTGGTAGTGAGAACTTTCTGGCTCTGGGTAAGCCCTTTGTGCACATCAGATCCTTTGTTCCTCCCTGGAGGTGGCAGCAGGGGTCCCTTTTTAACTCTTAGGACAAGCCTAGGCTTAGAGAGGTCAAGCCTAGGCATGACCATGATGTGCCACGTCCTCCCGCTGCAGGTGGCAGGGCCCAGCTGTCTGGCTGCAGAGCCCAGGCCCTTGTCCACAGCAGCTGCCTCAGCTCCTCCCACCATGTTGATGGGTTCCGTGGGTCCAGGAGGGGGATAGAGAGCGGGTGTCATAGCTGAGGTCCCAAAGGGTGCTGATGGGAGAGGGATCTTCCCATGGCACCCACACAGAGCATCTGGGGAAGCCAGCGTGTGGCATGACCGTGAGGATGGCGTTGGTGGGCGTGAGAAAGAGTCGGTCCTCCCACCCTTTCGGACTCTAGACTCCGAGGGCCCCCTCTGTCACTTGGCATTGCCTTCCTGACATAAGTATTTCAGAAGCACCATTTGGAGACAGAAGATCCCATCTATTAGGACAGCAGTGACGTTGGGCACTTACTGTGTGCCAGACACCATGGGCAGTATCTCATTTGATCCTCCCCAAAAGCGTGGGAATGGGTGCTCTTGTCGCCTCTGTCTGACAGGAAGACCAAGGATTGGAAAGGCCCACGGCAGAGCCGAGCTGGGCACCCAGAGCCGTGTCCCCGCTCAGGCTGTCCTGCCGGGGCCTAGGCCTTAACCTCGCCTCACATTCCCACCTGCTCCTCTCCAGATAACAGGTCCCTGGCGAAGCCTGTGGATTCGATTTGGGTATGACCCCCGAAAAAACCCAGATGCCAAGATTTATCAAGTCCTTGATTTCCGAATCCGTTGTGGAATGAAATACGGTAAAAACTACTAAAAGCTTAGCTTGCTTTCTTTCTCTTCTTTGTATCTTTCAGTTTCTAGCATTGTCTTTTGTCATAAGACCCTATTTGTTTGGAGTGAGAAAGCCTTTCCCCCTGGGTGAGAATATGCTGGGTACAGGACAGCACTGAAACAAAGGCTCAGCTCTGTCCTGGCCCCCCTGCTGACCCTCTGTTTCTGAACCGCAGTCCCTGGTTCTCTGGTTTCACGGTGACCTGCGGTCCTGTGACATGGGCCGGGTACTAGTGAGTGTCGAAGCCCAGGACCGCAGTGAGCTCCACAGTGCACCCGCCCTGTGTGGGAAGCGCAGGCCACCTTAGTGACTGTTACTCCAGTGGTGTGCTTGGCGGCCTGGGGTCACCTTTCTCAGGAGCTGGCCCCGGGAACCCAGGTCCTGCCTCCAGCGTGAAGCCAGTGCCGTTGCAGATGGGCCCTGTGCCCGCCTGCCCGACATGCCTGCCCTCGTCTGCAGGTTACGCCCCCAGCGACTTGCCTGTCAAAGCAAAGCGCAGCACCTACAACTACAGCCTCCCCATCACCGTGAAAAAGACGCGTAAGTGCCCCGGGATCGCTCTGCGGGCAGGAGTGATCTGCCCTCATGCCAACGCCAAGCAGGGGGGCGTCTGCACAACAGGTGGGGAGGTGCTTCCTGGGGTCACTTCTCCTCACAGAGGTGGGTGGGCAGGCGGGGGGCAGGGTAGGGTGGTTGGCAGAGACGCCTCCATCCCCACCCCCATATGCCAAAGCACTGCCATTGTCCCCGTGCAGCCACCCAGCTCGTCACCATGCATGATCTGAAGCAGGGCCTGGGCCCATCGGGGACAGCCGGTGCTCGGAAATCCGCCTCCAACAAGTACAAGCTCAAGGTGGGTGCCCCGGAGCCCCCAGAGGGAGCAGCCTCTGTCTGGTTGAGGGTGGAGGTCGAGGGAAGACATGAGGCATCTCGCTCTTGGGGCCACATGTCCTGCGGGAAACATCTGGGGGGCTTTGGGGCAGCTCTGCACTCCCAGTGCCTTGGCCCCACCCCACCTTTGGGAGGGCGAGAACCTGGAGTGTGAGCCACCCAGGGCCATGGCGTCGAGGACCATTTGGGCAAAGAAGTGGTGACATGTCTCAGAGAGAAACCTGACACCAGCAGCTGTGTGTGGCTGCCCTCCGTGTGCTGGGGCCCCACTGAGCCACGTGACAGCCCTGGAATGACGGGAATCGGGCATGCACGTGAGCGCCGGGCCAGAGCAGACCAGCTGGGCTGCAGCTGTGGGCTGGGCACAGCGCTGGGACGGGCAGGAGCCTAGTGGGCTCAGGCTTCCATCATCGCAGTCGCCCGGCAGGAGCTGGCAGTTCCCAAGGGCTTCCCCACACTGGGGCTCTCGTGAGCCCCTCCATGGTCCTGGGGGAGGCCAGGCAGGGTGTGTCCCCCACCCTGGAATCACCCACCTAGAGTAGTGGGTGGCAGCGTGTACATGTGGCAGAGATGGGCTGTCATCAGTGCTGCTGGGCCCCGTGCCTGCGCCTCCAGGTGTTCCACACCTTTGCTGCCTTTGAAGTGAGGGCAACCATGTCACAGCCTGCGTGGCCTCAAGGACTCTCACTGGGGGCCATCGTCCCTGCCTCCAGAACTGCATGCCTAGGCAGGAAGAGGAGAAAACCAACGCCCATTAAACCCTGCTGTCCTCCCACACAAGATGTCAAGGCAGCGTGGGGACATAGGGTGACCAGTGGCGGCAGTCGGTGAGGAGTGAGCGGGTCAGATTGTGCAGGGAGGCGCAGAGAGCAGAGCCCAGCACATGACTAGTTCTGGCACCACGCCATAAGCACCGTGGCCGTCACGCAGGCGCCTCGAGGTTCCTGGTGGCCCCGGAGGCCCTGGCCGCTTCCTCCCCTCCCAGAACCTCCTGCGGAGTCAGAGCTTGTCCTCTGCACATCTGCTCACCAGCCTTCCGGCCTGTCTGCCCAGCCTGGTGCTGGTGCCAGCCAGCTCCTTGGAGCATCCCCACGGGAGCCCACAGCGCAGCGTGGGGGTCTGCAGCACCGCCTGCCCCCAGGGCTCCGGCTCACTTTCCCTGTCTCTCTCCCTCCTTTCACCAGGACTCGGTCTACATCTTCCGGGAGGGGGGCCTGCCGCCCTATCGACAGATGTTCTACCAGTTGTGCGATTTGAACGTGGAAGAGTATGTATGGGAGGGGCTCTGAGACGCTGGGGGGCCATGGGACCCCGGGTAGGAAGGGACTAGGGACTAGGGACATGGGACTAGGAAATTGCCAGGCTCACAGTGTTGGCTGCCAACTACTCCGTTTCTCGTCAGCCTTACTCCCTCTGCCGTTGTGTCTTTGCCCCTCCTTCTCTATTGCCCACATGAAGGTGCATAAGGCGGGTCCTAATCCTGGGGCCGATCAGATCCCAGAAACTTTTTATCTGCTTGTTCCTAGTAGAGTTTAGAAAGCTGCAGGGGTTGGGCACCGGGCGGGGAGGCAGAGCCTGCTAACTGCTGCTTGAACTCTGGTGAAAGCCGTGACTCACCAGAGACACACGCGTGGGCACACACCCAGCTGCGCGTGCAGGGTCGGGGTCCCGGGACCACCCAGGCTCGGGACCCCAGCTGGGGGCATGCAGCTCTCACGCACGCCTCTCACGCCACTTCCAGCTCTGCAGGCTTCGTGCCCAGTGCTGTGTGTCTCATTACGACTACCCCTCTGCCAGAACCAGATGCTGGCACCCTGGGACTTTATACCCTGGTCCCTCTCCCTGCCCCCAGGTTGCAGAAGATCATTCACCGCAATGATGGGGAGGAGAATTCGTGCACAGAACGGGATGGGTGGTGCCTGCCCAAGACCAGCGACGACCTGAGGGATGCCATGTCCCTCATGACCCGGCAGACCATCCGCTCTAACAGGCCTGGTGAGAACTGGTTGGGGTGAAGGGAGGCCTCAGATGCCCGGGGACCCACTCTGGGGACAGGAAGTGTCCCTAATGGACCCGTTTCCAAGAAATTGCACCCAAGTGGGTTTCTCTTGCCCCTGCCCTGGTAGGAGGGAGGCCTGTGAGTCAGGGCCCAGCCTAGGAGCCAGCGCTGCCCCAGCCGCCCGGTGAGCTGTGTGGGGCCGGGGCTGTGGCACTCAGCCTGGGGCCCACAGCAGGAGCTGGCCTGGCCTGCAGTCGGCCCCCACCCCATGCCCTGACACCAGCCACATCTTCCAGCCACATGTGGGCACGCTCTGCCTCTGTTTCCTTCCATGGGGGGCAAAGGCAGGGACAGTGGGAGCGTGGCCAGCCACTCTGCTCTGCCTTGCCTGGCTCCTTCCTGGGACCGGGCAGCCCTGGCAGGGACAGGTGCTAGGCACTGAGGAAGCGAGGGTGTGGGCGCTTGCGGGCTGTGGTCCTGGTGGGACTAGGGGGAGCTGGGACCCTCTCGGGTCCGCCCACAGACCCGACCAGAGCAGGAGTTCTTAGCCTTGTTTGGGAAACAGACTGGGCCCCCTTTAGGTTCTGATCATCAAGATTAAGGCTCTAATGGAGGTAATAAACTTTCTCCCAGGATTAATGGGGTATATACTCCTGGGGGGTCCATGGGTCTCCTAAGCTGCCTGTGGCCCCTCTGGGGAAGTGGCTGTCAAAGCTGTCTGCCTCAGTGTTCCCTGAAGTGCTTGTTAAACTACAGACCCCTGGTGCCCCCAGCCCAACCCCCCCCCCCCCCCCCCACCCCCCCGACACATCCGGAGAGAGAGACGCCCCATACACTGGCTCCCCTCCCCCGCCAGCTGTAGCAGTGAGCGGGCTCTCGGAGCCTGCGTGGGGACACACCGGCCTTGTCTCCCCTCCTGGCCCCAGCTCTCTTCTCCAGTCCGACCAAGGCTGACGGCGGGAAAGAGCAGCTGACCTACGAGTCCGGAGAGGACGAGGAGGACGACGATGAGGAGGAGGAGGAGGACTTCAAGGCCTCGGACGGCAGTGAAAACGAGATGGAGACAGAGATTCTGGACTACGTGTGACAGGGCCCTGGTCCTCCCTGACCCAGCCAGACTGGTGCCCGGCCTAATGAGGGAGCCAGAGCAAGCCATAGCTCCCCTGTGCCACCTACACGGAGCCAGTGCCCCTGGGAGGCCCCTCTGAGGAAAGTGGGGATCCCAGCAAAGGGTGCCACTGACCGAGTGTGACCTGCTGCTCCGTGTTGCCCTCTGGCTCTGCGCACCTGTGACCCAGCACCTACCGCCAGTTGTAGGTGGAGATGGCACACCTGGGGCAGGGCTGGTCTCAGCTGGGGTCTCGTGACTCTGGTGGTAGAGACGGTTTGAGGAGCCTGGTCCATGGTCACTGTGGCCAGAGGCTGCCCTTGTCTGTGGATCCCATCCGTTTGGGGTAGCTTTGGCAAAAGCCATGCCCAGCTGGAGTTGTCCTATTAAATCAGCATTCCCGAGGAGTCCTGGTTTCTCTGTTGGAATGTTAGAGCCACGGGGCAGTTTCCTCTAGCCTGGGACTTGGGCTCCCTTAGTGCCTTTGTTTGTTCCTTCCTGCATTCAGTGGCCTCGTGCTGGCAGTGCTGGCCCGTGCTCCCACCCCCAGTAGGGTAGGGTGAGACAGCCAGGAGTACCTCAAGCCTGGACTCATTTTTTGTCCAAATGGATGTGTTCTTGACAAGTTCTCGGGAAACAGGCCCTGCTGAGGCCCCGTGGAGCCAAGCCTGCCTCCCACAGCCTCAGGGCAGCACCCAGGCCAGAGATGGGCTGTCACCCCACCACTCAGTGTGACTGCGAGTCCTTTTAGCAGTTTGGTGTACACTGATTCTGAAGCCACACGCCTCAGGCAGGCCCCATCCAGCTGACTGGCTCCTGGGAGCCCCTCCCACGACAAGAGCAGGAAGCCCAGTGGCTCAGTCAGCTCAGTGGCCCGTCCCGGGAACCTGCCTGGGGAGGAGCAGGCCAGCTGACCCGCCAGGACGCTGCTGTGCGCATGCCCTTGCCTGCTGTGTCTCCTTGAGTCTGTGGCAAAACTCCCTCCCCGCGCCGTGTGCGTGCAATTCAGCCGTCTTCATTTTCTCAGACTAGTCAAGTGTGGTAGTGAGGAGAGAGGAGAGCGGAACAAGGGTCTCATCTGGAGCCGACTGAATACTCAGTAGCGAGAACTCACTGCCTTCCACCAGCCCTGCATTCCTTTGTTGAACAGGTCACTTGTCCTATAGAACGTCCCCGCTCTGGACTGGCTGGCCGCTTCCATGTGGTGGTAGAAGTGATCCTCCCGCCCTGTGTTTCCTGTGCACTGAACAAGGCGCCATCAGCTCAGGTTCCAGGCCTCTTCCTAGGCGGAGCATGCAGTCGGAGGCTGGTGGGTCCCTTTGGTGACGCTAGGATTGACCAGCAGGTCCAGGTGCTGTCGGCCTGATCCAGCGGTCTTTCATCTAATGGTTCAACCATCCTTGATGATTGCCTGGACCTACCTCCTTAGGGGCTGCAGAATGCGGAGTGTTAGAACCCTGTTGTCCTTATGCATGTATTAGCTGGAATTCTATAAAGGACTCTTCCTTGTCATCTATTTGATGACCCTGAAATACCATTTGGATAGGAAAGGTGCGGAAATGCCTGATTCTGCCCCCCTACCAGTTTTCAGAATAATGAGTTAGTCCCTCGCAGTGGCCGGGATGATGAGGGTGGGGTGGGGCGGGGTCCTGGGCTTCCTAGAAAGCGCTCGGGTTTGCCTCTGTCAGTCGCAGGATTTTGGTGCCCAACTCGTCCATCTTTGGCCAGAGGGCAGCCTCAGGTCAGCTCCTGTGGTCCTTTGACACAACCCTGGGTCCTTGGTGCCTGGCTTTCCGCTGCCACAAGGGCCCAGGCGTCTGCCTCCCTCGGGTGAGAGTGGTGTGGAGGCCCGGTCTGGTGGGGCTTCTTTACTGCTAGGGCTTTTGAATATAGCTAGGAAATATGTGTTTTTTTACAAAGAGAAAAATAAATTATGAATCCATACAGATATTTTCCAATTAAAATGTAAGATTATAGGGTTTTACGTCTCTAGTTTTCCTCTTGTTTCTTTTGTTACCCACGCTGAAAATCTGGATTCCTGGCAACACCAGCATAACTACTTACTTTGTTTTTCCTATAACTTACATGTGCTAGTTTCAAAATATAAGATATTATAATAAGTCATATAATGATTACATTTAATGTATATGAATTTAAGAAATTATAGGCCTGGCGCGGTGCCTCACTCCTGTAATCCTAACACTCTGGGAAGCCGAGGTGAGAGGATCGCTCAAGGTCAGGAGTTTGAAACCAGCCTGAGCAAGAGCGAGATCCCATTTCTGCTAAAAATAGAAATTAATTGGCCAACTAAAAATATATAGAAAAAATAAGCTGGGCATGGTGGTGCGTGCCTGTAGTCCCAGCTACTCGGGAGGCTGAGGTAGGAGGATCGCTTGAGCCCAGGAGTTGGAGGTTGCTGTGAGCTAGGCTGACGCCACGGCACTCTAGCCCGGGCAACAGAGTGAGACTTTGTCTAAAAAAAAAAATTATGTAAAGTAATATATGATAAAATAATAAGGCTACTAAGGATGGTCTAGGTTGGTTTGCTCTTCCTCCCATCCAAGTGCTAACCCAGCCCAACCCTGCCTAGCTTCCAAGATGGGGCACCGTCTGGGTAGCATGGCTGCCAACTGCTCTGCTCTTTCTCCTTAGGGAAGATTCTGCTGCAGATGCACAATTGTGCTTCCAAGTCACTTAAGTGACTTTTCTCTGTGTGTTGAGGCCATTTTCTGATACTCAGGCCTCCTACAACTTTTAAATGGATGTGTCTTTGCCTGAAAACAAAGTTTAAGTGTTCCTTTTCAGGGCATCTTATAAAGAGAACTGTACAGACTGTAGTATTTGTTGTGCCAAGACCTTCTCATCCATAGTTTCCCTGTGGGAGGACACCAGGGAAATACTAAATTCAGAGAGGTGAAGACAACAGGCCCCAGCCACACAGCAGGGAGCGGCGGCGGCAGCGTTGGCCCTGTGTTTTGAGTTGCAGTTCTGCTTTGTGTGACGTGGACACACGTGCACTTGCCCCCACAGGGAAACTTTCCTTCGGAAAACATTTTTTCCAGCCCCCCAAAACAATTTTTTAAAACCAATTATTTGCCAGAGTTTTATGTGATGTTTTATCATTTGAGTTAGTTTTCTACTTTATCACTTAACAATCAGTCTAAAACTTTGATACTCCAGCAAGTCTGGACTTTGAGATTAAATTTGTCCACTAAATTACCATAGGGCAGTTGGTGTGCAACAGCCACACGTGGCCCCTAGTTGTGCTTGACTGCCTGCCCTGTCCCAGCCTTTTGTGAGAACCAAGGAGTCAGAGAAGAGCCGTGGGCTGGGTCGCAGCGGGTCCCGCACAATCCACCCCAGGGCAGAGGCCGGGGGCACGCCGGGGCAGGCGCCCAGGGCCCCAAGGAGGTCCTGGGACTTCCCATGTCAGTCAAATCTTTTTTTGTTGAAATTAATGCCCCAGAAAGTTCTCAAAAGCAGGATCCACTAATGGACACATTGGACAAATGCATCCAGGAAGCCAGCCAGTGACTTCTGTTACTGGACGGACAACGTTAGCCCCTTTGGGGTCCCTGTGGGGTCAGTCATCCAGTCCTCAGTGTTCATTGATCGCCTCCTCTGTGCAGGACCATGTGGGGCCCCTTGTTAAATAAACTAAGAGCCACCCCATGTTATCAAAATGTGGGTGTCAGTGGTGCTGGAGCACTTGGACAGCCACATCACGAAATGGATCTAGACACGGACCTCACACCCCTTGCAAAAATTAACTCAAACCGGACCACAGACGTAAGTGTAAAACACAAAGCTGTACCTTCTGTCTTACAGAAGGTAACATAAGAGAAAATCCACAGATATGCCCTTGGATTTGGCGGTGACTTTATAGACACAACACCAAAGGCACTATCCGTGGAAGAATCATAAGCTGCACCTCATTAAAATTAAAAATTTCTGTTCTGCCAAAGACACTATCAAGAGAATGAAAAGACACGCCACGGACTGGGAGAAAATATTAGCGAAAGACACCTGGTAAAAGGGCTGTTATCCAAAACATACAGAGAAGTCTTAGAACTCAACAATAAGAGAACCCAATTACAAAATGGGTCAAAGACCTTAACAGATGCCGCCACACAAAGAGATACACAAATAAGCATATAAGAAGCTATCCTAAGCGTATGTCATCAGGGAGACACAAATTAAAGCATTGAGATGCTATTGCACACGTGAGAATGCCCCAAATCCAGAAAGCTGACAGCACCAGATGCTGGTGAGGAAGTGGAGCAACCGGAACTCTCATTCGTTGCTGTTGGGAATACAAAATGGTACAGCCGCTTTGGAAGACAGTTCGGCAGTTTCTTAAAAAAATAAACATACTCCTATCATATGATCCAGCAATCACACTCCTTAGTATTTACCTGAAGGAGTTGAAACCTACGTCCACACAAATATATATTTACAGCAGCTTTTTTTTTTTTTTAAGAGACAGGGGGGGGCTCTTTTTTTTTTTTTTTTTTGGCGACAGAGTCTCACTTCATTGCCCAGGCTAGAGTGAGTGCCGTGGCGTCAGCCTAGCTCACAGCAACCTCAATCTCCTGGGCTCAAGCCATCCTCCTGCCTCAGCCTCCCGAGTAGCTGGGACTACAGGCATGCGCTACCATGCCCGGCTAATTTTTTCTATATATATTAGTTGTCCAATTAATTTCTTTCTATTTATAGTAGAGATCAGGTCTCGCTCTTGCTCAGGCTGGTTTCGAACTCCTGACTTCGAGCAATCCGCCCGGCTCGGCCTCCCAGAGTGCTGGGATTACAGGCGTGAGCCACTGTGCCCGGCCAAGAGACAGAGTCTTGCTGTGTTGCCCAGGCTGGAGTGCAGTTGCCCGATCCCAGTACTCTGGGAGGCTGAGGCAGAAGGATTGCTTGAGGCCAGAAGTTTGAGACCAGCCTGGACAACATAGTGGTGAGACCTTGTCGCTAAAAAGCAAAACCAAAGCAAAAAGTAGGCCTCCTTTTCCCTGCCCCCAACCCCCTCCCCAACCTTCTTTGTCTCTCCCCTTTCCTGCTCAGCCACTATCAACAAGGCTGCAGTGACTGTCCTTGAGCACAAAAGCTCATCCTCCCGCCCCCAGTTCACAACTACTTCCTTTATTAAGAACAGGTTCTCAGAATTAAACTGGGCAAAAGGCCGGTGTAAATGCATGTCCTCCTGGGCAGTGGGGAGGCCACACCTGCAGGGCCCCTTCTCCCTCGCCTCTCCCTCCCACCCCTCCCCACCTTCTCCGGCCCCCCCTGCGCACTCAGCCCAGGGGAGGTCTGGGTGCTGGCAGACCGAGGGACAGCAGTGGGGCTGTAGGTCAGCGCAGCCCTGGCTGTCGCGAAGGGGTGTCGTAGGCCGGGCTGTGGTGCGTGTAGGCAGCACAGGCTCCGAGTCTGGAAGGGGCTGCCAGCGCCTGGCCAGAGGGGCCATTGACTGGAGGGCTGGGGCCACTCCTGCCACTGTCCCCATCACAGAAAAGCGCTGCACAGTGGGTGGGGCCACCGAGTGTCTGCTGTGCCCGGCGACCTCAGACGCCCCGAGCTTCTTAAAGGCACCATCGTAGGACTGTTCATGGGGGTCTTTCACTTTGCTCAAACTTTTCTGGTTACCAGGGTGACCCATGTTCACAGAAAACATTAGTGGCCTCCTCCGCTACGATCTCGGACCTCTGTGCTCACTTTTCCCTCCCTTCTCCCCTCCCCCCTGCCTCCTTCCCTCCCTGTCTCTGTCTCTCTCTGCACCTGTGGGCCCCAGGGCCTTTGCTTGGGCCCTTTCTTTCCTCAGGGAAGCCCTTAAGGCTGGGCGAGAGCCCCCGTGCCACCACCGCCCCCTCCGTGTCTGCCCAGAGCCTCTTGTCCTACCCACCGGTGCTCAGCACACCAGACGGTGACATCTCCCCACATCCTGCGATCAGGATTGCAGTGGCCCTCACTGAAAGCTCATGGAGATGACAAGCGCCAGCCACACTGGTGCCCAGTAAGTGGCTACAGCCCTCTCGTCCCAGAAGTCACATGCTCCGTCCCCTGTGAACTCCTTCTGCTGAGCTGGGGACAGGCAGGGCCTGGAGAGGAAGCATGCCCGTTTCTCTGAGGGTCACCCCAAGCCCTTGTAAATGGGCCAAGCCCAGCCAGTCCCCAGCCTTGCAGCCCCCCCTCCCCCCGTGCCACCTGCCTCTGCTCCCAGGTGGGCAGTGACCTGCACAGGTGCGCTGGGGGAGCAGCCGGCCCTGGGAAAGACGGGCCATCCCTGCGCTGATGTGTGTTTGCGTGTGTCCCAGAGCACACACATGTGACCTTGGCTCCAGCTCCATAAATGCCCCAGGCGTGCAGGGAGGGCACCCGGAGGCAGACCCACGCCATGGCGCACCTGCAGCTGCTCGTCCTGGGCCTCGCCTGCTGCTGGGCGGCGGCGGGCGCCGCGAAGGTAAGCGGGAGCCGGCACGGGGCAGGGCCCCCCCACCCCACCCCACGGGACCAGGTCTGGTCGCTGTGGGGACAGGGCCTGGAGCAGGGAAGACAGACGGAGTCACGGCCCGAGGAGGACCCACACCAATCCCAGCCGTGGTTCCTGCGTGCATTGTGTTCCCTTTCACTCTGGCGCCCGGTTAGACTTGAATTTCGGTCAAACCACCAATAAGTTTTGGTGTAAGAATGTCCCACACAATGTTTGGAACCCACTTACACTAAAAAACTATTCACCGTTTATCTGAAATCCAAATGTAACTAGGCCCTTTGGATTTCAAGTTGCTGAGGCTGGCGACTCTACCAGTAGCCACAGCCCAATTTTGTCCCAGAAGTCACATGCCCCGTCCCCTGTGACCGCCCTCTGCCTGGCAGCCCGAGGTCAACGTCCCCGTCTGACAGACAAGCACTTTCCCAGCGTCACACGGCCTCCACTTCCGGTTCCTGAACGGGAACCGCAGACCCAGCCGACCCCAGCCCAGGGCCCTGGCTCCCCGCGGGCCTCGGTTTCCTGCTCCTCCCAAGGGGGCGTCCACCCCCACCTACCTTGCAGCTGGGTCCCTCCAGAGCGAGAGCCAGGAGGCCGCACGAGCCCCGAGGCACCTATAAGTCTGCCCTTCCACGGTGCGGGGCACAGCGCCCCGCCGAGACCGAGACACCCGGCCAGTCCCCGCCCCCAGCAGGGCTCGCACAGGGGACCCTCACCACGCTGCTCTCCCACCTGCTGTCTCGGGCCCTGGGGCCCCTCTGCCCAGCCGGGCTCTGTTCTCCACGTCTACGGACCTCGGGAGCTGCCCTCGAACCTGGAGCTTGGGGCCCTGGGCTCCTCCTGCCACCGAGGGGAGGCCACTTTCCGAGGACGGGCTGTTTCTGGGGTGCTGCCCATCTCGATCACACGGAGACACTGAGAGGCGACGTCGCTGTCCCCCAGGGCTGGCCTCTGCCCCTTTGGGGGACGTGGCGGGAACAGAGAGGCTCAGATGCTTTGCAGGTGTTGGCTGAGGCGGCGGCAGGTGTCCCTTCTGGCTGCTTCCTGGCTGCAGTTCCAACTGTCCCACTCTCCCACCCCAGCGTGCGGGGGTTGGGAGGGGCAGACTAGACTTCAGGGGGCCACTAGGACCCCGCTGGCCTGGGGGTGTGGGGCTGCCCTTGCTTCCCACCGAGCCCGGCACAGGTGAGAGGCAGGCCGCAGCGACCTGCCCCCGCCGCACCTGCCCAGAGCTGCTCCCCCACTTACCTGGGACACACCGAGGTGGCACTGGGACAGACCGCTGCTTCCCAGCACGCGACTAGCAGCAGGAGAGCTTCTGAGGCTCCACCCGCCAGGGACGGTGTGCGGAGGAGTGCCAGCCTGCAGGCCCCTCGTGAGGGCGGGCGCCTTGGCACACAGCGGCAGTGCTGGTGGCCCGGTGGGGGGACCCCAGTGAGGTGTTTCCCAGCATGGCACACAGGGACTTGAGCATAAGGCCGCCGACGCCATGCACAGCCAGCTGGGCTCCGTGTGGGCAGACAGGGAGGGAGAGAGAAAGAAGGACCCGACTCGGGAAGCTCATGGCTGGGTGTGAAATGCCCAGTGCACACCGAGCGTCCACTGCTGCCGGCGGCTGGACAGGCCTCCCGTCTCATGCAAACAGGCCACAAGGGAGACACTGTTGTCATGTGCCTTACAAATGGGGAAACTGAGGCTCAATGTCAGAATGAGGCGGCCATAGCCAGAGCCCAAATCTCCACGCCCCTCTTGGAAGGCATTCCCACTGGGAACGCTAGTAGTTGAGGGAGCAGACACCCCCGGGGGTAGGGGCGAGTGGCAGGGGGTCCTGCCTTGGCCTCCGGGGCAGATTTATCCCCTTTGGAGCCCGTTCGCGTCACCCCCTCTGCGTTGAGGCTAAGCAGGCCTGAGCCGGCCTCGCCCTTCTCACTCCCAGCTAGGCGCGGTGTACACGGAAGGAGGTTTCGTGGAAGGCGTCAACAAGAAGCTGGGCCTCTTGGGTGACTCTGTGGACATCTTCAAGGGCATCCCCTTCGCGGCCCCCACCAAGGCCCTGGAGAACCCCCAGCCACACCCTGGCTGGCAAGGTGGGAGCGGGCGGGAGCCGGGCCTGCCCTGAGCCGGGGGCTGGCGCGGTTGGCCACCGCCCTCACTCCAGCCCCTCGGGCCGCCCGCAGGGACCCTGAAGGCCAAGGATTTCAAGAAGCGATGCCTGCAGGCCACTATCACCCAGGACGACACCTACGGGTCTGAAGACTGCCTCTACCTCAACATCTGGGTCCCCCAGGGCAGGAAGCAAGGTCTGGCCCCCCACCTCCCACGCAAACCCCCCAGGCAGCTGGAGCCCCGGGCCTGCTCCGGGCTGTGTCTCAGGCTTCGAGGCTGAACTTGCCTGAAATCCTCAGAGAGGGGAGGGGCTCCCACTGGTGGTCCCCCAGCCCGAGCAGGGCTGCACCCGAGTGTCCCTCCCCCGCCAGCCGCGGCCCCGCGGGGTTGGGGGCACCTGCTGCTCAGGAGAAGGCTGGAGAAGGTGTCAGGGGTCACCGGCCGCTACCCTGTCGCAGTCTCCCGGGACCTGCCCGTCATGATCTGGATCTACGGAGGCGCCTTCCTCATGGGGGCCGGCCACGGGGCCAACTTCCGCAACAACTACCTGTACGACGGGGAGGAGATCGCCACGCGCGGCAACGTCATCGTGGTCACCTTCAACTACCGCGTCGGCCCCCTCGGCTTCCTCAGCACCGGGGACGCCAGCCTGCCAGGTGCGTGGCAACCTTGGCACTGGGGGGCACAGCCGGCGTCCGGACCCCGAGAGTGCTGAGCCCAGCATGGGACGCCCCTCGGCCCCGGGCCCCAAACAACTCCTGACAGCCCCTCAGAAAGGCCCGGAAGCTGGAGTTGAGTCGTGGGTACACAGGAGCCCCTCGGCCGCTGAGAAACCAGAGGGGCTGCGGGACGGAGGAGCGGTGGACAGACCGAGGCTCAGAGAGAGGCCAGGAGGGCAGGGACAGTGAGAGACAGAGAAGGACACGCCGAGGCGAGAGACACAGCAGGAGGCACAGACGCCGCAGGGCGCAGAGGACAGGAGGGACTGCGGCAGGGAGGGGACACTCGGGGGCCCGGCCTCCTGCTCCCTGCCCTGCCCCGACCCCAGCCCCTCCACACCCTGGGGACCTGCCACCCGCCATCCTGGGCTCCGAGGGGGTGTCCCCGCTGTTGAGACCGTCCGCCCCTCCCACGCCGACCGGCACCTGCTGCGTGCAGGCCCCTGCGCTGCTCATCTCTGGCCCCCCCCACGGAGGGTCCCGGATGAAGGCCCCTCCCCCCGCCCTGCCCCCAGGTAACTATGGCCTCCGGGATCAGCACATGGCCATCGCCTGGGTGAAGAGGAATATTGCGGCCTTTGGCGGGGACCCCAAAAGCATCACCATCTTTGGGGAGTCGGCTGGAGGCGCCAGCGTCTCTCTGCAGGTCTGGGGACCCCTGGAGGGACGGCCTGCCCCGGGGTCCGGGAGGGGGCCGGTGGGTGGGGCTGGAGCTCAGCTGTTGGGGTGTGCTGGGCCGAGCCCGGGGTGGGCAGGGTGGGCTGCAGCCGTAGTGACGGGACTTCTGGGTGTCGCAGACCCTCTCCCCCTACAACAAGGGCCTCATCCGGCGAGCCATCAGCCAGAGCGGTGTGGCGCTGAGCCCCTGGGTCATCCAGAAGAATCCACTCTTCTGGGCCACAAAGGTAAGTGGCAGAGGGTGGGCGGGCGGGCAGGGGTCTTCCTCATTTCCGTTGGCCGCCCTGCACCCCTCCTGGCCCCACATCGCCCTGCGCCTGAGCACCAGCCTCACCTACCTCCCCGCCTTGCCCGCCCCAGATCGCTGAGAAGGTGGGCTGCCCCGTGGACAACACCACCAGGATGGCCAAGTGCCTGAAGGTCACTGACCCCCGAGCCCTGACGCTGGCCTACAAGATGCCCCTGACGGGCCTGGAGTGTGAGTGGGCGCTGCGGGCAGTGCGTGCGTGGGGTCTCGGGGCTCAGGCCGGGCACTGTCGCCCTCTTGCTGGCATCCCCAGGTAGCTCTTGGCCAGCCCCCGACAGGCCCCAGTGGCCTCGGCCGTAAGTGGGGGGCATTCTTTCTTCCTATCCTCCCCGAGTCACGGACGCCTCCCTCCCTTCGGGAGCTGATGAGCACCTGGCCCCCTCCCCCAACCGTGCGCACTGCGCAGTAAGCAGCAGAGAATCCGGGGAGATCCGCAGACCCCAGACCCAGAGCCCGTGTGCCGCGCTGCCGTTCCTTCATTCACTCGGCAAACATTTACGGGACACCCGCGGTAGCGTTTGGCCCTTCCGGCTCCACCGTTCCATACCCGGGAAGGCTTGGGGCCGTCCACAGACGCCTGAGTGTCGGCTGGCAGGCGGCAGCTCCCTCTGCCCGTCCTAAGGCAGCGCAGGCCGCCACCTGCTTCTCCGCCCACCTTGAACCGGCCTGGGTGCGCAGGCAAGACGAACACCTGCTGGGCAAGATTCCCGCCCACTGGAAGATGGGGCTGTGCCTAATGACAGCCATCGCACCGCTGCCCCCGGCCAGCCTGGCCCTCCGCGGCCAGTTCAGGGGCAGGAGGGCAGCGCAGGCCTTGCACGGTCTTCCGCTACCGGACTGGACCAGCCCCGAGAGAGGGCACCCCCTCCCCGTTGGTCCCCCTCAATTGCTTCTGGGTCTTCCTCCTTCCTGACTTCAGTCCCGTGAGAAGAGAGGGAGGGCCGGGAGGGTGAGACCGCAGCCAGAGACAGACCTGGCTCCCAGACCAGTGGCTCCCGGCCTGGGGGCTCGTGGCGAAGTCTGGAGACTCCGGTGGTCGTCACCGACTGGGGAGAGGGTGCTCCTGGCAGCGAGCGGGTCAAGGCCAGGGACGCTGCTCAGGACGCCCCAGGGCAGGGCCATCCTGCCTGTCCTGCGCAGCGCCCGGGCCCAGAAAGCCTGGTCTAGGTCAAAGAAGGCAGGGGTCTCCACCCGCAGCCCGGGAGGGTCAGGTGGACGCTGGGCGGTGCAGGGACCTGCTGGCTCTCCCCGCAGACCCCATGCTGCACTACCTGGGCTTCACCCCCGTCATCGACGGAGACTTCATCCCCGACGACCCCGTCAACCTGTACGCCAACGCCGCCGACATCGACTACATAGCGGGCACCAACAACATGGACGGCCACATCTTTGCCGGCATCGACATGCCCGTCATCAACACCAAGAACAAGGATGTCACGGAGTGAGCAGGGGGCAAGGCACCCGGGGCGATGCGTGCTGGGGGGCTGCTGGGAAGGGCTCGGCCTGGGGGGCAGCCCGGAGGCCGCAGGCATTAGCGGGAGCGGGGAGCGGGGGCGGGGGCGGGGAGGTTGGGATCAGGGACGTTCACACCGGCTGGCGGGGGTGGGCAGACACCTTCCCACTGGAGCAGGGGGAGTGTCAGTGCCCATGTGGTCCCCGCAGTGAGGCCTTCTACAAGCTGGTCAGCGGGCTCACCATCACCAAGGGGCTCACAGGGGCCAAGTCCGCCTTTGATGTCTACACGGAGTCCTGGGCCCGGGACTCGTCCCAGGAGACCAGGAAGAAGACCGTGGTGGACTTCGAGACTGATATCCTCTTCCTGGTGCCCACGGAGATCGCCCTGGCCCAGCACAGCGCCAACGCCAAGTGAGGATCCGGGCAGCGGGCAGCGCCCCGGGGGGTCGCCTGGGTTGTGGCAGCTTCTGGCTGTGGCCTTGCTGTGGGCAGCTCACTGTGGCCGGGCGCCCGGGAAGGTGGTGCTAGAGTCCCCACCCGTGCCTGCGCGATCCACTTTGCTGAGGCCTGGCAAGACCCCCGAGGGCCTCTCCCCCCCTGCCACCCGCCCACGCCCCTCTGCCCTGCCTGGCTCCGTGCCCTTAGTCTTTCCCACCGGAGTTCTTGAGTCTACCTTCCACTTCTCGTGCTGTGTAGACAGAGAGGACATTGGGTGACGGCCTCGGTTCAGTGACTCTTACGGGCCTCCCTTTTGGCGACTTGCAAAATAATTTAAGCCCATAACCCACATTAAAGACCTCCATATAGGCCGGGCGCTGTGGCTCACGCCTGTAATCCTAGCTCTTGGGAGGCCGAGGCAGGCGGATTGCTCAAGGTCAGGAGTTCAAAACCAGCCTGAGCAAGAGCGAGACCCCGTCTCTACTATAAATAGAAAGAAATTAATTGGCCAACTGATATATATATGTAAAAAATTAGCCGGGCATGGTGGCGCATGCCTGTAGTCCCAGCTACTCGGGAGGCTGAGGCAGAAGGATCACTCAAGCCCAGGAGTTTGAGGTTGCTGTGAGCTAGGCTGACGCCACGGCACTCACTCTAGCCTGGGCAACAAAGTGAGACTCTGTCTCAAAAAAAAAAAAAAAAAAAAAAAAAAAGACCTCCATATAATAACAGCCAATTAAAATTAAAAAGATAAGTAAGGAATACTTAAAAGATAGGAAGATAAGGCCAGGCGTGGTGGCTCACGCCTGTAATCCTAGCACTCTGGGAGGCTGAGGTGGGCGGATTGCTCGAGGTCAGGAGTTCGAAACCAGCCTGAGCAAGAGCGAGACCCCCCCATCTCTATTATAAATACAAAGAAATTAATTGGCCAACTAATATATATAGAAAAAAATGAGCTGGGCATGGTGGCACATGCCTGTAGTCCCAGCTACTTGGGAGGCTGAGGCAGGAGGATTGCTTGAGCCCAGGAGTTTGAGGTTGCTGTGAGCTAGGCTGACGCCACGGCACTCACTCTAGCCTGGGCAACAAAGTGAGACTCTGGCTCAAAAAAAAAAAAAAAAAAAAAAAAAAAGATAGGAAGATAAAAGTATACCTAGAGGATATAGGATGAAGGCTTTGCAGCAACTAAGCAAATAAATTTAGCTCTGAGCTACCTGCCAGTCAAGGTGAAAAGGGAAACAGCTGGGGGCATATACCTTGTGCAATCAATTGAAGAATGCAAGTTCACTTGGAGGAAACAAATGTCCTTCTTGATACTGAATTACAGGCGGAAGACGCCTCAGAGCATTTTACAGAGGTGAGGTGTAAATACAATTGAAATCGTAGGACCCGCAAATGCATAAATTTGGCCTGGAGCTTTCTCTCCCCCAGGCGAGAGAGAATCCCAGCCTCCCCGTGAGTCTGTGGGAGTTCCCAGACCCTCCCCTCCCCGTGCCCACCGCCGGCTCCCTCCAGGGTCCCTCTCTGGGCTGGGCAGCCCCAGGTGAGCACCCTGCCTACTTGGGCGGGTCTGTCCCCGCCCTCCAGGAGCGCCAAGACCTACACCTACCTGTTTTCCCATCCCTCCCGGATGCCTGTCTACCCCAACTGGGTGGGGGCCGACCACGCCGATGACATCCAGTACGTCTTCGGGAAGCCCTTTGCCACCCCTCTGGGCTACCGGCCCCAAGACAGGACTGTCTCCAAGGCCATGATCGCCTACTGGACCAACTTTGCCAAAACTGGGTAAGGCGTGGGGTCAAGCCCAGGGCCGAGGGCCTCCTGCCATTAGGGACTGAGGCCTGGGTTCCAGTCCCTGTTCCGTCGCCTGCCAGCTGCGAGACTGCGCACCTGTCCCTTAGCCTCCCCGAGCCGCAGGGTCCCTGCCGCCTGTGAGGACGAGAGCCACGCCTGGGCCGCTCCTGGCGAGGGCCGCGGTGCCCCGTGCCAGCGCAGAGGGGGCAGGGCTGGGCTGGGGGTGTGGGGCTGCAGCCTCCTCTCACTCTGCAGGGACCCCAACATGGGCAACTCGGCTGTGCCCACACACTGGGAGCCCTACTCCCCGGAAAACGGCAACTACCTGGAGATCACCAAGAAGATCGATGGCAGCTCCATGAAGCGGCACCTGAGGACCAGCTACCTGCGGTACTGGACCCTCACCTACCAGGCGCTGCCCACAGTGGCCGGCGATGGGGCCGCCCCCGAGCCCCCCACCAGTGACTCCGAGGCCGCCCCCGCCCCCCCTACGGGTGACTCCGAGGCCGCCCCCGCCCCCCCTACGGGTGACTCCGAGGCCGCCCCCGCCCCCCCTACGGGTGACTCCGAGGCCGCCACCGCCCCCCCTACGGGTGACTCCGAGGCCGCCCCCGCCCCCCCAACTGATGACTCCGAGGAGGCTCAGATGCCCACAGTCATTGGCTTCTAGTATCCCAAGAGCCTCGTCCCCAAGAGACCGCAGGGCCGGACCCCAGGCACACCCCCCCCCCAGCTCTTCCTCAATAAAACCTCATCTATGTCCGTCTGGCGTCTTTCTTGCTCCCAAGACGGAGCTGGAGGGAGGCGGGGCCCTCAGCTGTCCCCATGGCACCTGGTGCTGGGCCCAAGCGCCGCCCCATCACCTCGGTCGGTCCCCGAGCTCCAGGGAGCAGACAGCACTGCCGGAGTCTGAGAGACGGGGAGGCAGGTCCAGAGAAGCTCAGTGGCAGAGCCAGGACTGGGATCCCAGCACGGTCACTCACGTCCAAGCCTGAAGTGACCTGCGCCCCAGGCTGCTGGCGGCCCCCAGACGGTGGCAGGGCGGGGGCCACAGTCAGGCAGAGCGGGACTCTGGTGGGCAGAGGCCCCCCGACTGGTGTAGCCCGCCTCGCCCAAGTCCTCTGGGGTGCAGGGAGTGGCGCCCGTGTTCCAACGGGGGTCCAGGGACCCAGCTGGGAGGGGACTGAGTCAGCTCCTCCAGCCGGATCCCAGTCAGACAGGGAATAGCGCATCACTCCAGGTCAGAGACGGCGGAGGACGCTGAGGGTGCAGGGCGCCGGGTCCCGGGCCCCTGGGTGGTGCCCAACGGCTCTGGTGGGGTCAGTGTGGCAGGGGGCAGAGGTCAGAGTCAGGGCTGTCCCCAGCTCTGTGAGGCCTGTGCCCGGGCACCGCACCAGCCTGACCTTGCCGGGGCCTGTGTGTGGGGGGGGCACTGTGAACACCCCCATCTTAGACATTTATGGATCTTCACGGAGAAACGAGGCCCTGAGAGGGGGTCACGTTCCCAAGGTCACCCAGAGCAAGGACTGAAACCTAGGTCTGTGCCTCCAAAGCCCCAGCTCAGAGCAATATCCAGGCCTCTCACCCCTCCCCACCCGCCTTCTCTATAGTCCTGGTCTGGTGGGGCGGGATCAGAGACGAGACAGAAGCTTCCAGAGTCCTTAGCAGCTCAGCCTGGGCTGCGTGGTAGGAGAGCAGCCCCAGAGGGCCAGTGGGCCACTCTCTCCGCCCTGCACAGCAGAGCTGACCGGGCCAGACCCCGTCCCCGAGGAGCAGGGGACACCTGGCTGGCCTGTGACCACTCTGGCCGCCCTGGGCTTCCTGGTTTGGTCAAGGGGTCTCAGGTGGAGAGAGGGAGCTCCCCGTCAAAGACTGAGCCACAGCCTCCCTGCCACGGGGGCCTCTCCTGGTGACTGTCCCTGTTCTCTCGGGCAACGGAACCCCAAGGTTGCCATAACGTGTCCCTTCCTCTGCTGCACCGGGACCCGCAAGGCTTATGAAGTGTTTCCGTCTGCTGGGGCTGCCCTCAGGGCCCCCCCACCCCACGGCACTGCGGGAGGAACCGGCTTTCTCTTCCGGGCCCCGGCCAGCCCCGGGAATGGGCACTCTCCGTTGCTGGGGGGACGCACAGTCGCACCTACCTGCCATTCACTAAGTCACGCCCCCGGACGGCTGGGCCACGTCGGCAGGCATGGGCTGTAGGTTCCGAGTGTGTGCTCAGCCTCCGGGCTGCACCCGGGGCTCTGCCGTGGTCAGAACACGTCCCCCGCCGCACTCTTGTTGATCTCCGATTCCCAGCGCGGCAGTGTGGAGAGGTGGGGCCTTTCAGAGGTGACCGGACGGTGAGCCCGTCCGCCTGGCTCTGGCCTTTACAGACCGTGCCAGGGGACGAAGTCGAGAAAACCCACAAGGGGAGGCTGGAGGTTGTCCAGGCTCCTGCCGGCCAGGTGCTGTCCTCTGTCCGGGACAGAGAGCCCGGAAGGGCACTGGGTGAGCTCAGGGCCGGGGGTGTTTGCCACCCAGGCAGGACGTCTCTCAGCACTTTGTTGGCCAGGCTGTGGCCTTGTGTGCCCGTGGACCATCACTCTCGGTGGCCTCGTCCGCCGCCCCCATGCCGCTGTAACTCCCCACCATGACAGAACCAGAGCCCAGGCTGTGGGCGGGGAACACACTCACTCCAGGGCCTGCAAGCTCCAGGGGCTCAGGGCCCAGCTACCTCCTAGAACAAGTTGGGGCCGGGCGCGGTGGCTCACGCCTGTAATCCTAGCACTCTGGGAGGCCGAGGCGGGTGGATTGCTCGGGGTCAGGAGTTTGAAACCAGCCTGAGCAAGAGCGAGACCCCATCTCTACTCTAAATAGAAAGAAATTAATTGGCCAACTAATATATACAGAAAAAATTAGCCGGGCATGGTGGCGCATGCCTGTAGTCCCAGCTACTCGGGAGGCTGAGGCAGGAGGATCACTTGAGCCCAGGAGTTTGAGGTTGCTGTGAGCGAGGCTGACGCCACGGCACTCACTCTAGCCTGGACAACAAAGTGAGACTTTGTTTCAAACAAAACAAAACACAAGTTGGTACCAACACGCCCTGTAAGCCGATGACCTCCCGAGACGGGGGCCTCAGACCCACGCAGCCCGAGGCTTCACCACGGCCGTCAAGGGAGACTGGGGAGGGGTCTTCCCCTGGCAGGGCTCCGCACCCTCATCCCGGCAAACCAGCACTCACCGGCATTCCTGAGGCCCCGGCCAGGGTGAGGGGCCGCGGTGTGCCCAGCAGAGGGGTTGGGGGGCTTTGGGGCTCTTCTGGGTGAAATCAATCATACAAGGGGCTGTGTTCATAGGCGGCAGGACTGCTTATGGAAGGAGGCCCACTCAGCCTTAAACGCGGCATCACAAATCTTTCCCTAGACACAGGGTGAGCAGGCAAAGGAAGTGTGGGGTCAGGAGCAAGGACTCTAGGATTCCAGCCTAAGGGGAAGGGGTAGAGGGGCAAAGTCCTGCCTCGCCACTGGCTAATCCTCTTCCTCTCCACGGTGTGCATTTATTTGTTTATAATTTCCCCTAGTGCTGACTGAGTGTCAGGGTTTGAACTTGAAATCTGCAAGTTCCTCATTGGTGGTCAAAAGAAACCCCAGTAAGACAAGTGGAAGATGTTCCTCTTCCCCCAGAGCTGCAGAAAGGCAGCCACCAACTTAGGTCAGGAAACGGTCCTTGCAAATGTTATTTTTTAAGAATTGCGGTTAAAAAAAAAAAAAATATATATATATATAACTTATGCTAATTTAACTATTTTTAAGAGTAGAATGAAGTGGCGTTAGCTGCATTCACTGTTGTGCAACCATCAGCACTGTCTATTTCCAAAACTTTTTAATCACCCCAAACAGAAACTCTGTAACCATTTGACTATAACTCATTTTTGTAGCTGCTGGTGACCTCTAGGCTATTTTCTGTTTCCATGAATTTTCTTATTCCAGATGTTTCTTATAAGCAGAATTAAACACTTTCAAGGTTCATGCAGTTGTAGCGTGTATCAGCACCCCATGCCTTTTCCTGGCTGAGTAATATTCCATTGTATGTTGTGCCAAGTAACGGCGCATAGTAGTCTTATAACCCTTTTTATTTCTGTGAAGTTGGTTCTCACTTTCATTTCAAACTTTAGTGACGATTCTCTTCTTTTTTCTTAGTCTAGCGAGAGGTTTGTCAGTTTTGTTGATCATTTCAAAGAACCCACTTTTGGTTTTGCTGATTTTTTCTATTGCTTTCTGTTCTCTATGTTGTTTATCTCTGCCATAATCTTTATTATTTCCTTCCTTCTGTTAGCTTTAGGTTTAGATTGCTCTTCTTCTAGTTCCTTAAGTTGCACAGTTAGGTTGTCGATTTGAGATCTTTCTGTTTTTTTGACATAGGTGTTGCAGCTACAAATCTCCAAGACTGCTCTTGATTTCACTGTATGCTGGTAAGTTTGGGTGTGCTGTGTTATTGTTTTCATGTCCTCAAGCTATCTTCTAATTTTCCCTGTGACTTTTTTTGACCCATTGTTTAAGAGTGTGTTAATTTCCCCATATTCATGAATATTACAATTTTCCTTCTGCTGTCGATTTCTGATTCCATCCCATTGTGGTTGGAAAAATACAACTACTATGTTTTCAATCTTTTAAAATTTATTAAGACTTGCTTTATGGCCAGGTGTGGTGGTTCACGTCTGTAATCCTAGCACTCTGGGAGGCTGAGGCAGGAGAATCACTTGAGGTCGGGAGTTCGAGACCAGCTTGAACTAGAGTGAGACTCCGTCTATGCTAAACATAGAAAAAATTAGCCGGGCATGGTGGCGCACGCCTGTAGTCCCAGCTACTCGGGAGGCTGAGGCAGGAGGACTGCTTGAGCCCAGGAGTCTGAGGTTGCTGTGAGCTAGGCTGACGCCACAGCACTCTAGCCCAGGCAACAGAGTGAGACTGTCTCAAAAAAAAAGGACTTATTTTATGGTCTAAAGTATAGTCTATCGCGGAGAATGTTCCATGAGTGGAGAAGAATGTGTATTCTGCTGTTGCTAGTTTAAGTGTTCTATATGTGTCTGCTTTGTCTAATTGGTTTATAGCGTCCAAGTTCTTTGCCTCCTTATAGATCTTCCATCTGGTTGTTCTGTCCCTTGTGGAAAGCTAAATATTAAGGTCTTTGTGTATGTCTCAATTATGTCGATTTTCACTTTATGTATTTTGCGGTTATTAGGTATGTATATGTTTACAATCGTATCTTCTTGATAAATGAAACCTTTTATCAATATATACTGAACTTCTTTATCGTGTTACCTTTTGACTTAAAATCTACTTTGTCTTATAATAACATAGCCATTATCAAAACACGCTATTTTCATGGTACAACTTTTCCCAACATTTTACTTTTAACCTTTTCCTATCTTTGTATTCACGACGAGTCTCTTAAAATACAGCACATACACATTTTTTAAATCTGCCAATCTCTGCCTTTTAATTGGAGAGTTTATCCTCATTAGGATAGTGAGAAAAGAAAGAAAAAGAAATAACTGGAGAGTTTAACCCATTTATATTTACAGTAATTACTGAGAAGACCTGACTTCCGCCACTTTGCTGTTTGTTTTCTGTGTGTCGGATATGCCTTTTGTTCCTCAACTCCATTACTGGTTTCTTATGAATTTGGTGGATTTTTGGATTCTCTTCTTCTTTGCTCTCCTATGTATTTTTTTAGTTATTTTCTTAGTGGTTACCTTTGGGATTGCAATGAACACCTCAAGCGTATAACGGCCTAGTTTGAATCACACCAACTTAGTTCCAGAAGTATGCAAGCCCTCCGCCCACACGGCTCCACTCCTCCCCCATCATACTGTCACTGTCACAGATTATATCATCATACACTGTGTTCCCACTAACATGGATTTAACCGGTCTATAAATTTTACTTTTAAATTATAAGGAAAAAGAGATAAGTTACAAACCCAAAGTGCAACAACACTGGCTTTCCCAATTACTTACCCGTCACCCCTACCAGCGTTCCTGAGTTCAGGTTACCGCCCACGTTCACTTCAGCCTCGAGGGCTCCCTTAGCATTTCTTGTAGGGCAGGTCTACTGGCAACAAACTCCTTAGCTTTTGTTTACCCGAAAATGTCTTCATGTCTCCTTCATCCTTAAAGGACGTTTTTGCTTTTTCCCCCAGCACTTTACATATGTCGTCCCACTGCCTTCTGGACTCTACGGTTTCCGGCGAGAAATCTGCCGTTCACCTCACGGAGGCTCCCTTGTCTGTGATCAGTCGCTTCTTTCTCGCAGCTTTCGAGATTCTTCTCTTTCCACAATGCGACTCCGTTGCATTTCAGCGTGGCTCTCTTTGAGTTTATCCTGTTTGAAGTGCGTTGAGCTTCGTGGATGTGTAGATTTATGTTTTTTTTTTTGTTTTTTTTTTTATCAAATTTGGAAAGTTTTTGACCATTATTTCTTCCAATAATCTCTCTGCCCTTTTCCTCCTCTGAACTCTCATTAAGTGAACGTTGAAGGTGTCCCACAGGAACCTCTGCCTCTCTTCGTTTTTCTTCACCCTTATTTCTTTCTGCTCCTCAGATGGAATAATTTCAATTGCCTTATCTTCAAGTGCGCCGACCCTTCTGCCTGTGAACTTCTCCGGTGAACTTCTCTAGTAAATTCTTCATTTGTTGTCACACTTCTCAGCTTCAAATTTTCTGGTTGGTTCTTTTTTTATAATTTACATTTCTTTATCGCATTACCCATCTGCTCATACAGCATTCTGATTTTCTTTAGTTCCATGGTTTCCTTTAGCTCAGTGAGCACATTTGAGAAAGATGATTTAACCCCTTTAACTAGTCATTTTGGCCGGGCTCACGCCTGTAATCCTAGCACTCTGGGAGGCCGAGGCGGGCGGATAGCTCGAGGTCAGGAGTTAGAAACCGGCCTGAGCAAGAGCGAGACCCCATCTCTACTATAATAGAAAAAAATTGCTTTATTTGGATAGCTGAAAGTATATAGAAAAAGTTAGCCAGGCATGGTGGTGCATGCCTGTAGTCCCAGCTACTCGGGAGGCTGAGGCAGGAGGATTGCTTGAGCCCAGGAGTTTGAGGTTGCTGTGAGCTAGGCTGACGTCATGGCACTCACTCTAGCCTGGGCAACAAAGTGAGACTCTGTCTCAAAAAAACAAACTAGTCATTTTAATCTCTGAGCTTCCTCAGAGATAGTTTCTGTCAAATTCTTTTATTCCTGTGAATGAGCCAACTTCACTGTTTCTTTGTATGCTTTGTCATTTTTGGAGAACCAAACAACACTGGGCATTATAATGTGGTAACTTTGGAAATCAGGTTGTCTTCTCCTGGGGAACTGCCTGTGTCACTTGTACAGTCTCCTGTCTCCACAGTGACTTTTCCAAACCACGTTTGCCCAGCTTGTATTTGTATTCCTTGTCGTGTGTAGTCACAGCCATTTCTGTCCCGTTGTCCCTGTTGTCAGCCAGCCTGTGACTTGACAGAGGTTTTCTTAGCAGCTGAAATTCAGCAGGGTCTCCCTTCATCAACCGGTCCCCTGGCTGTGCTGCATCTGAGCAGGTTCCAGAGTGCCAAAATAGTTGATTCTGATCAATTTTTTTCCCAGCTGAATGGTTGATTCCATGGAGAGACTGAAACTTGAGGCCTCCTACTCTGCCATTTTCTGTTGTAAATGTTATCTTTAAAAGATATGCAGGCCGGGCAGGGTGGCTCATGCCGGTAATCCCAGCACTCTGGGAGGCCAAGGCGGGCGGATCGCTCAAGATCAGGAGTTTGAAACGAGCGAGACCCCGTCTCTACTATAAATAGAAAGAAATTAATTGGCCAACTAATATATATATATAGAAAAAATTAGCCGGGCATGGTGGCACATGCCTGTAGTCCCAGCTTCTTGGGAGGCTGAGGCAGGAGGATTGCTTGAGCCCAGGAGATTGAGGTTGCTGTGAGCTAGGCTGATGCCACGGCACTCACTCTAGCCAGGGCAACAGAGTGAGACTCTGTCTCACAAAAAAAAAAAAAAAAAAGGACACCCAAATGTCAGAGGTTATTGCTATGCCCTGTGAAAACACCTCCAATCTCTAGCCCCAGGGGTACTATGGGACTGTCTCAGTGCATTGCCCAGTTCAGTGACACGGAAATGAACATCTGCTCTGTGAAAGGTGGACTTGTGTGCTCCCTTCAGTGTGCCTGCCACTTTTTTACTTCTTCTGCATAAAAAAAACCTGACAGTCCTGCAAGATTCCTCACTTGAACATGGAATGTGAGAGTCTCCATGTCATTTAAATTGTGATAGGGAATGAAAGAACAAAACCACAAGGACCAGGCGGTAGTAGAAACAGGATTTTAATATAATATTCAAGTCTAGCATTTGCTATTTACAACAAATAAATATTGCCCCTCCCCAATCAGTAAACATTTTTTTTTTCCTTTTTATACAAATATTCAATCGCCTTCCCACCCCAAACCCTCCTTCCCCAGCAACCCCCGTCCCGTGTGGTCTCGGAAAGCCCAGGATGCAGCGGTGAATGGCACTTGCAGTGGCGTGAGAGTCAACATGGATGGGACGCAGCTGGGACTGTCCTCACTCACTGGGTGAAGAGTGTGGTCCATGAAGAGGGTTTCTCTCTCCTCTCCCGGGGGAGGGCTGGGGCAAGTGGTGGGCGAGACTCCCTCACTCTCGGTTGGCCCTGATGATGGAATCTTTGGTGCAGCCTAGAAAGGCTAGAGTGGCGGGAGGAGGGGCCAGGACCCCTGCAAAGGTCACGGGCCGGTGCCCGTGGGCACGAGGAGAGAACTGCAGTGGTCAGACCTGGTGGGTGAGTGGGTGCTCTGGGGTGCCTGTGGCACAGGTGGCAGTGACCCGCACCTGGGAAGGTGTCAGGGAGTGTACAGAGGCAGTGCCCAGGGGCAGGCACCATGGTACCAGGGCACCTTGCCCATTGGCACCGCTCCTTGGCAAAAGTCGGCTAGTCCTCTGGTTCCAGAGAGCAGAAGGCACCTAAGGCAGCGAGTGGTCCGCGGGAGGCCAGGTCAGCCCAGCACGCGGCAGGCGTCAATCCCGGCAGCAGGAGAGGTTCGGGATGGAAGTGGAGTCTGGGGTGCCCTGGGCTGGCGGGTGGGCGGCGGGTGCCCGGCGGGCCTAGGCCAGGGTAGCCTGTAAATTCTTAGCTCCCGGCCAGCCAGACCCGGGGAGACGCCCTCAGAAGATGCCCTTGGCAATCTTGAGTCCTTTCTGCTTCATGCGGGGGAGGGTGGAGCTGGCTCCGTGCTTGACCTTTGCCCCTTTGGCGAAGTTCCGCTTTTTCAGGACAAAGTCGTAGTTGGCGGCAGAGTTCATGGCATAGAACACGTTGGCGTTCTCAGGGATCTTCAGCTCTGGGGAGGGAGGGGCAGAGGGTGGTCGCCTGTGTTCCTGGGGGCCCCACTGCCCGAGAGCCCCTGCGAGGACAGCCCTGAGATCCCCCAGTCCTGCTCCAGGACCACCAAGGACCCCCCTCAATGACTCCTGCCCGAGGACAGACTCTGACAAGACCCTGATGCGGCCTAGCGGTGCTTGTCTATAAAGGGCTCTCGCGGCCGGGCGCGGTGGCTCACACCTGCAATCCTAGCACTCTGGGAGGCTGAGGCGGGCGGATTGCTCAGGGTCAGGAGTTCGAAACCAGACTGAGCAAGAGCGAGACCCCGTCTCTACTATAAATAGAAAGAAATTAATCGGCCAACTAACATATATATAAAGAAAATAGCCGGGCATGGTGGCGCATGCCTGTAGTGCCAGCTACTGGGGAGGCTGAGGCAGGAGGATCGCTTGAGCCAGGAGTTTGAGGCTGCTGTGAGCTAGGCTGACGCCACGGCACTCACTCTAGCCCGGGCAACAGAGTGAGACTCTGTCTCAAAAAGGGCTCTGACTCCGAAACTCCAGCCTGGCCTGAAGCTGGCGGTGAGTCACCCTGTCCTGCCTACACCCTGTCCAGCTGCAACAGGCTTTCTAGGACCTTGACTACTTCCCCTCCATCCGGCCCTACTCGGGACAGGCCTCCTGCGCCGGGTTCCAGGGCGGCCTGCACACCTCGTGGGGCCAGGCACCGGCAGGCACACGTGCTCTTGGCTCCCGCCGTCTCCTCTGGCCCAGAGCCTGCCGCAGGGCTGCGCGGGGCTGGATCCGTGCTCTTGCCAGGCGACACCGTGTGGCCCTGACTCTCGCTCCTTAACCTCTCTGGGCCTCAGTCCTCTTTTTCTGTAAGACGGGGTCACACCTACCTTGTCTGCCTAACCAAGCTGGTGTGAGACACTGCAGGAGGATTTAAAATACACCCTCTAGGGACGTGGGAGCCACTGCTGACTGTCCGTGCCAACGGCTGGGAGTGGTGCTCAGTTCATTGGAAAGAAATCAGAGTGACAGTGACAGCATAGTTAACTTTCACGGTGCGTGTCTATACCATACGCTTCCCTCTCCGTTACACGGACAGGCCTGACTCACTGGCTACTTTATCTCCATTTTGGGGTTGAGAAAACGGGCACAGAGGACTTAAGGGACTCACCCAAAGCCTCCGAGCCCATGGCCCTGGCTGAGCCCGTACTCGCTCTTTGATACTTCCCGTTTCCTGGCTCTAGAACACTGTGCTGGCTCCCTGGTAGTCTCTGTTTTGTTTCAGTGTCAGACACTCATGGATTTTAACATTTGATGCTCAGTCCATGGCAGTTGCAATGTTTCTGAAGCACATATTTTCCTGTCTTAGTCAGAAAATGTCCTTTGCCATGTGCCATCTGGCCACCTTGCCCCAACAATGCCTTTTTTCTTTGCTACATGTTAGCTTTTTTTTAAGCAAGGGCCTCGATCTGTCACCCAGGCTGGAGTGCAGTGGTGCAACCAAAGCTCACCCCTAGCTCCTGGGCTCAGGTGATCCTCCCACTTCAGCCTCCCTAGTAGCTGGGGCTACAGGGTGCCACACCATACTTTGCTAATTTTTAAAACTTTTTTGTAGAGATGGGGTCTTGCTATGTTGCCCAGGATGGTCTCAAACTTCTGGCCTCAAATGATCCTCCCACCTTGGCCTCCCAAAGCGCTGGGATTATAGGTGTGAGCCACTGTGCCTGGCCTAATGTTAGGTCTGAACTGCTTCTTCATGCCCAGGGTAGGGGACTCGCAGGGAGGTCCAGCAGCTGCTGGGGGCAGATGAGGAAACACCAGGGGAGCCCGGGGCTGCCCTGAGAACGGTGCCCACCTGCCCCTGAGAGTGAGTTTTCAGGGGCCAGGGCCTGGGGCTGGGGTGTGGCGCTGGCCCAGCCCACCCCATCACCCGCCTGTCTGGTTCTCCAACTTACTCCGATCGTCTGAAATGATCTGCACCAGCTCGTAGTCCTCTGGCTCGTCCTCATCCAGGTTGTGTTTGTCCATGGCCTTGCGGATCACGGCCGGAGCCTTATCTTGGCTGGTCACCTGGATTGGGAAAGGGGCAGGCTATCAGGGCCCCCTGGAGTGTTCCCCTAAGTGCAATGGCCAAGACCCTCTGGAGTCCCTTTAGCACTGAGGACAGGGGCTCACAGCCTCTGGCCAGGTGCTGGGTCCAGGGGGCCCTTGTCACCTTCCCATGCTCCCTGAAGGAGACTTCCATGTGATGAGAAGGCATCTTTCCCAAGGGGCTCCTACAAGAGCCTGCCACCTGCTCCCATGCTACCCTGGGAAGCCGCTTGCCCCCAGGGGCAGGGTAACAGCCCCAGTGAGCCTGGGGGACGCCTGGGGGTAAGAGAGGAGGTGGCCAGGTGCCCACTGTGGTCAGCACAGGCTGATCCCTGGCTGCCTGAGCCCTGAGGGCCAGAGATACACATGAGACTTAGACCCAGGGTCACACAGGTGGCTGCTTAATGACAGCCTTGTCAGCTCCTAGCAGCAAGAGGCTCTGAGCAGGGTGGGCGTGTGACGGGGTGCCTGACCCAGAGTGTGGGGGGACTTGTCTGCAGCAGAAGCCGGGGAGGACAGGGAGGGCCCCCCCCAACACCCACGCACATCCTGTATTTCCCACTGGCTCCACCTCTAATCCTGTCCAGACTGACACTGCTGGTCATCTCTAGCCTGTGGCAGCCACTGCTCTCCTGGCTGGGGCTGCCCCAGAAGTCTCCTAAGCAGCCTCTCTGGCACCAGCCCAGCCCCAAAAACAAGCCAGCAGTCGCTCGCTGCCCACCTCTGCTCCACCCTGCAGCGGCTCCCCCTCCCTCCACGAGAAGGTCAAAGTCCTCAGGGGCCCACACAGCCCAGAACCCTGATGCCAAGCCATTGCTCCTCTGCCGCCTGGTGCCCGGCCCGGCTGCTCCCTCCCTCCCCGCGGGCCAGCCCCTGGCGCCCACCGCTGTCTCCTTCATCTCTGCGTCTGGCTGGCACCTGTCCTGCCTGCCCCTAGAAGGTGACCCCAGGAGGGCAGGGGCGGCACACGGCGCTCCACAGTGCTCGACGTGCTGCTCACCAGGATGCTCTTGTACATGTTGCCGTTGTCCACGTCCAGGCTGACGCGGATGATGCAGCAGTCGCCCACCTGCTGGTTGTAGAGCGGCAGTGAGGAGCCGTGGCCGCAGACCCCTGAGACGGAGCGCTTGTGGGTGCGTGTGGCGGCCACGGGCGTGGTGGAGGCCGAAGAGGATGAGGTGCTGCTGGAGGCGGAGCTGATGCCCGAGGTCTCCGGAGACGACTGGGACGCCGACTCCCAGAACTGCGGGGGTCGGCATGTCAGCAGGAGCCTGGACCCCAAGGGGGCCCCCGACACGGGCGGCCAGCTGGGGGGGGGGTCCGGGCAGCCGTGCTCAGGAGCTGGGGCTGCTTGGCCCCTGCGTGGGTGCAGGGTGCAGAGCCGGCACCGGGGGTGGAGGGGCGGGGAAGGGCGTTGGGGGGAAGGGCGGCAGTCACCTTCTTTTCCTGGCCATCGGGGGACTCCGGGACAAAGCTCACGTTGATCTCCTCCACGTCGGAGCTGGAGGAGCCGGCGGAGTGTACGCTGAGCGCGTCCGCGAAGTCCCCGCTGCTGAGGTAGGGCCCGCACCTGAGCTGGTCGCAGGACTTGGAGTGGGAGCTGCCGCTGGTGCTGAGCTCTGTGCTGGGGGCCTGGCGACTGGAGGAAGGGCCTGCTTACTTGGGGGCCTCCCCAAGGCACCCCACCGCACACTCTGCACCCAAGGCACTGTGACAAGTGCCTGATCAGTCACAAGGACCCTGCACGCTCCGGCTGTGTGGCGGATCATTTAGCATCACCCCAGTTCACAGCGGGAGAAACCAAGGCCCAGAGAGGTGAGGGGACTCTCCCCGTCACGGAGCCAGGCAGCAGCGGGGTGGGACCCCAGGGCCTGCCTGACCCCCAAGCCCACCATTAGCCCCCCAGCTCCTGCCTGTGTGGGCGCTTACTCGCTCCACCGCTTGACGATGGCCACGTTCTTCTTGGTCTTGAGGGTGTTGCCGGCCGACTCGGAAGGAGGCTCCAGCTCGCACGACAGGGTGTAGCTGCAGGCAGAGGGCAGCTGTGTCTACAGGAGGCCTCGCTCAGTCTCCTCCCAGCACCAGCCCGGAAGCTGGAGGCCGAGCACCCGGGCCGACCTCGGGCACAGGGGCCACCACTGCAGGCTCTCTGGAGCTGGCCTCAGGGAGCGCCCGTCCTTGCCACCCCTGGTTCCTGCCCCGGCCTCACCTCTCTGTCTCGCTGAGCCGCTCCACGGCCCGGAACCAGGCCCGGAAGTGCTCCTCGGGCGCGATGCTGTAGTTGTTGCAGGCTGACTGCAGCAGCTTGATCTGGGCGATCACTTCGAATTCCTGGCGCCAGAGGGGAAGACAAGATGGTGACGGGGCCTGGCAGGGGCCAGTCTTGGGGTCTTTGCTCTTGGGGTGCCCTCCTTTCCCTGCTCCCATCTGGGCCTCCCTGTTCTTAGAGCTGGGCCCAAACAGCCACTCCCCAGGAAGGAGTCTTGGATTCCAACCTCCTCCGGGAGGGGACCCCCTTCCCTCCTATCCAAATGATCCCATAAACCTAAGAGCGAGGGGGATGGGACCCGTGTCTGCCCAGGTGGGTCTGACTCCCACCCCTCCCCCAGCCGGGGACTCACCTTCCTCCTCTTCTCGAAGTTGATCAGTCTCCCCTGGAAGGCAGACAGTGTCCATCAGAAGGTGCCCCCAAGACGGGTACCCCCCTGCCCCCCCCGCCCCCCACTGCACTACCAGGAGTGCCCACCAGGGGGCAGGGCGCATAGGGTCCTGGACTGGGTGGGTTCTGGGCATGGGTGGGGCCTGGGCCAGAGGCTGGGGGGGGGGGCTTCTTGCCAAACCCTCCCTGGGGACAGTGGAGGGACTGCTCGCCCTCGCTGCCAGACCACCTTCCCGCCCGTGTCCAGTTTGGCCAAACCCTCTTACAGCTCTGGTCAGTCACCACCAGGCCCCAGCTGCCCCACCCCCCACTGCCCCAGCCCCCAGCTCACTCACATACAGATAGTCCTTCATGGCAGTGTCCAGCATCACCAGGTCAGTGAGGAACGTGCCCAGGTAGGGGACGGTGCCCTGGATGGCTCCCTACAACGTCGGGGTCGGGGGCGGCAAGTAAGTTCCGAGGCCCCTCCCTTGGAGGCTTCTCGGCCTCAGCCCCCACCCCGCACTTGGAGCAGCCTGGGGACTTTCACCAGCCTCCCCCAGGCCCCATCCTGGCCTCCACAGACCCCAGACTCCCTCCAGCCGTCTCCCAGCCTGGCTCTGGGCAGAGGGTCATGTGGCCCGCCCCAGCCCACCCTGAGCCTGCCCCGGTCCCCTGCTCTGGTGGCTGCAGCTGGGCAGGGAAGTCCTGCCAGGGTCCAGGAGGCCTCGTGGGGCGTGCCAGGCAGGGTGGCAGGGAGGACAGGGCTGGGGGCCGCCCCACTGATCCCCCCTCGGGCAGACTCACCGTCTCCTTCGGCCGCTTCTGGGCTCTCTTGGGGTTCATCTCCAGGGTGGCAAACTTGGAGGTCCCCTCCTGCCAGGGGTGACGACGAGGTCAGCAAGATCCTCCTCCCCTCAGTCCTCACCCTGCACACCCCTGACCTCGGGCCCCTCAGCGCCTGCCTCATGGGGCCTCTGTGCCCCCACCTGCCCGAGGGCAAACAGACACCCCTTCCCCTGTGTCCAGACCAAACAAAAGGGCCTGCAATTTTCCAAAGACACTTTCTTGGTGAGATGCTCGTGCTCCCCTCTTCACCCCGTCCCCCGCCGCCCCCACCTTGATGAGCAGCTCTCTGCTCAGCGAGTAGTTGTTGTCATCCGAGAAAATCTCCGACAGCTTCTGGAAGATCCGGAAGCTGTCCCTGTGGGAAGGGCAAAGGAAGGAGAAAGTTGGGAACGGCGCGAGCGCAAACCTATTTCACTTAACAACTCACAGATCCCAAACCGCCCAGGTGAGTGGTTCCCGACAGGCTCCAGGGGGCTAGGGAGGGGCCTTCGCGTTGGCACGACGGGGCCCCCATTCCCACCAGGGCCCCAGCGGGCACCGAGCTCTGTGGCTACAGCGTCAGTGCCACAAAGTCTCTGACTTGGCTCAACCCGCGCCCGGCAGGCAAGGAAGCTGCACCCCGACTCAGGCAACAGGGTCCCTGCCCTCGGAGATCGTGGCCTCCCGAAGCCTGCAGGCTCCCTGTGGGAGGCCCCTGGAGCCGCCTTGGTGACAGCTGTGCCCACCTGGACACCTCCTCCCACGTCTTCTTCAGGCGGTGGATGGAGTTGCTCTGCAGGGCGGAGAGCACGGCGTGGAGGGACGAGAAGTTCTTGAGGACGCGGCACTCCTGGGCAGGCGAGAGAGCCAGCTGCGGTCCCCTCGGCCGGGCCCCTTCCAGACGGGCGCCCCGGGAGCCCCCCTGGGACACGTTCGGGACGCAGGGCGCAACACCGAGGGGGGGATTTTGTCCCAACCAGAGGAGGACGTGAGCGTCCGGCAGTGGGAGGAGAGGCCAGAGTGGCCGGGACAGGAGAGGCTGGGGCCTGCGTGGGGCAGGGGCCAGGGACATCCTGAGGGCAGACGGGGGTCCCCGGGCCCCTCCTGCAGCGTACCCTGGCCACCTCGATCCAGTGCTCCACCACCCTGGCCCTGTCCGGGGCCTTCATGCTCCGGTCCCCGAGGCAGGTGGTGATGACGCAGTTGGCCACGTTGTTGAACTGGGCGACGGTGGCGCGGATGGTGGGTGCCAGGTGCTCCTTGCCCTTCTTGTCCCGCTGGGACCAGATGGAGCCCAGGCAGTGGTAGGGCACCACCTTCTTGAACAGCTCCTGGGGAGGAGGGGAGGCGTCACGGCCCTGCTGCAGAGGGCTGGGCAGGTGCTTGGGAAGCTGAGGATGTGGCTTGAGCCCTGTGGGGTTAAGAAACTTGCCCGTGCCACCTGGTCTGTAATGGTGGGGCTGGGATCTGAACCAGAACGCTGGTTCTGGGCCCGCGAATGGCAGGAGCAGGCAGCAGATGCCCAGAGGAAGGCCTGCCCCGCCCCGCCCCGCCCTGCCCCGCCCTGCCCTGCCCTGCCAGACTGAGCCGCTCACCGCGTCCATCAGCGTGAACTGCTCGGCCACCAGGTCGGGAGGGAACACCAGGAGGTGAGGCTTCTCCTCACTCAGCCCGTTCTCTGCAGCCGCAGGTGAAGGCCAGGAAGGCTCCGAGCACGGGGCCGGCGTTGGAACTGGCTCTAGCTCGAGAGTCTGTGACGGAGCTGGCTCCGGCTCCGGAGCGGGTGTGGACGCTGGCTTCGGCTCCGGAGCTGGTGTGGACGCTGGCGCTGGCTCCGGAGCTGGTGTGGACGCCGGCTCCGGCTCCGGCGCTGGCATGAGAGCTGACACCAGAACTGGCTCCAGCTCGAGAGGCGGCGCTAGAGCGACCTCTAGCCCTGAAGCTGGAGCTGCTTCCCGCTCTGGGGCTGGCGCAGGCTCTGGCTCTGGGGCTGGCGCTGGCACGGGGCTGGGTGCTGGGGCGGGCGCCGGAGCTGGCTCTAGCTCCAGCGTTGGTTTTAGCGCTGGCACCGGAGCTGGTGAAAGAGCTGGGGGAGAAAATTCACGGGCGTGGCAGTCTTTCCGAGAGCCTTCCCAGAGACGCAGCACCCGCCACCTTCTGGAAAAGCCACCCGTGCGAGCCCACCCCAGGATGCCCTGCCAGCTGCGGCCCGGGGCCTGGGTGCTCTGGGCTGCTCTGGGCTCCTGCCCAGCTCGCGTGTGCCAGCACCGACCCCATCCTCACCCTCAGGCTCTGCCTCAAGGGGCTCCGAGTGCTCCAGCTGGGCCAGGAGCAGGTGGGCGCGGCGCTCCAGGTCTGAGCCGGGCATGTTGAGCTGCACGTAGGCCACCAGCTGCTTGAGGCAGGGGAAGTCCGGAGGCTCACAGAAATCCTCCGAGTACTGGTCCAGCCAGGTGCCCAGGATGGAGGAGATGGCGCTGGGGGCAGGCGGCGGCAGCAGCGTCAGAGGCCTGGCCTCCCTGGCCCCGGCCCGCCCGTGGCTCCATCTGGAGGCCAGCCCGCCCAGCCCGAGCCCCCTCGGCTCTGCAGAGCCTCGGTGGAGGGAGCCCTTGGTCAGCGGTGTGACCACCTGCCCCCTCCTTCCCGAAAGGCGACACACTCCTCTTCCTATCTCCCGCAGCCTTTCGTACTGGAATGTACCCTCCATGAGGGATCCGTCCTCCTGCCTAGCATTTGCGGGTCCCTGGGGATACCTCCACCTGCAGCCCGCGTGCTTACACGCTGCCTTCTCGGTGTGAGCTGCGTGCAGGTGTCGTCTTCCTGCCGGTATTATTACTACTTTCCCAGAGAGTGGCTGCGGCCGGCCCCTGAGCACTCCCTGAGTCCCCGTGAGCCCCGGCTGAGCTCACTGAGGATCGGGGCAGCATGCGAGCGGGCTGCTCACCCCTCCTGTCCCGCCGGGCCCCCTGGCTCAGGGCACTTGGGCAAGCCGAGCAGGGACGAGACCACCGTGCAAATGGAGTCTCAGCCTCCCCTCCACTCCCCAGGGCGGCTGGGACCCTGTCTCCAGCTCTCTGTTTTCTCTCTTCCTGAAGGCAGAACCCCAGACACCCCCACCGTGGAGACAGGAGGTCCCCCACGCTGGCCCAAGGCCCACTCACTTTTTAAGCTGGTCCTGGGGTCCGCCGTCCTCATGGGAGTAGGGGAGGATGCAGCCATATCTAGAGGAGGCCGTGAGGGCGTCACATCTACCGTACCTGCTTACGACGTCTAGTGTTACTGCCTGGCTCTCCAGCTGCAGTGGGAGCCCAGGAGGGCAGCAACTTTTTCTGTTTTCATCAACTTGTGCTAAGGGTCTAGAAAGGTGCCCGCACGCAGCAGGCACTCCCTGTTTATTTACCGAATGAATGAGCCCCACCCCACCCCTTCCCAGGTATCGTGGCTCCCAAGCCCCCCAGATGAGGTCTGTGACTGCCTTGCTTGACAAACGGGCAAATGGCTTTGCCGAGGCCACACGCCGTGGGCAGGACCAGGGGCGGAGGGCTTCCTCTCGGGGCAGTGGGGAATTGGAACGCGAGCCACCCGGCCCCACGCAGCACCCACCGGGGCCAGGTGCGGGGGAGGCCCTTTCTGCGGCTCACCCCACCCAGCCCTTACGACAGCTCTGGCAGGCGGGTCCTCGGGGCACCCAGTTCTCCTGTGGAGAGCTGAGGCTCAGGGAGGTGACGTGATATTCCCAAGACCCGCCGCTGCGCCTCGCAGGGACGGGCGCTCACCTCTTGAACAGCAGGTCCAGCACCTGCTGGGTGGTGGTGAAGGCTCTGTAGGTGCACAGGAAGATGGTGACGTAGGACAGGTCGCTGCCCTGGAAGGCGGGCACCAGGTGCTCCACCAGCTTCTCCAGCGTGCCCGCCTTCACCGTCCGCACCTTGCAGGTCTCGTAAAGGTTCAGGGCCGACTCGTTCTCATACTGGGTGGGACAGAGGGGGGACGGGCAGTCGGTGGCAGCACCACGCATCTCCAGGAGGGCTAGAGGCTGGAACTCCCACCCAACGCCCGGCCCCTGACCGGCGCGAGGGAAGAGGCGAGACGTGAGTGCTTCCAGCGGAAAAAGCTTTGGAAGCAGCGTTAGAGGTGTGGCAGTGACTCAACCACCAGCACCTTCAGGGCAGTTTATCGGCCGAGTAATGACAGTGCTGCCCCGTAGCCAGCGCGTTACGCGAGCGAGTCCTAACAAAACACCCCCATTCTAGAGACGGGAAACAGAGGCTCATCCCAGGGCGGGAGGCACAGGACGTCCCCTGCGGCACTGCCGGAATGGCCTCAGAAAGGATCGCGTCCTGGCCCCACAGCAGTGGGGACGGAGCCGCAGAGGTGACCGGCCTCCCTCTGGAATGTCACGCCGCAGCTGAGCCAGGCCCCAGCTCCCCACCCGGGAGGGCCTGGGGGCGGCAAGTTGCAGAGAAGGGCGTGTGACGGCCTGAGTCACGCTCTCTCCGGGTAAAGTCGGCCCTGCTACGCGAGATGCTGTGTGAGGCTGGGAGAAGGCGTGGGGACGGTCAGGCTGATGGCTGTGTGTCGCACACCTGGGGACCGGAGTCACACAGGAAAACCCGTAGCACTACATGAAAACATGTCTTTTCTGACAATCGTGGACGTGTGGCAACGGCGCCTTTGCAGCTGGCCAGGCCTGGGCTGGGCCCTGGGGACTGGGGGTGCAAGGGCCTGGATTCCTTTGGGAAAAGCACGCTGGGCCCTCCAGCGGGAAAGCTCTGGGAAGGGGCCCGGCGGAGTCGCCGGGGCGGTACTGGGTCCTGGGCCCGAGTGGGGACCCGAGCCACACTCACCCCGAGCCAGCGCTGGCCCTTGCTGGCACCGTGGTGCAGCTGCACCCTGCGCAGGGAGATGGAGTAGACGACCCCGTTGATCAGCTCCTCGCCGATCTCCTGTGTGGAGCTCTGCAAAGACAGTGCCCGTGGCCGGGCGCCTTGTCAGGGGCCTGCTGCAGGGGGGGACACCCTGCAACCTTCTACACCGGACTCTGGCCTGGGGCGACAGAGGACGACAGCTCCGGGGCTCGGGTTTAACCTCAGGGCAGAGGCTGCTGTCCCAACACTGCCCTCCCCACCCGGCCCCCGCTACCTGGGATGTGAACACGATGGGCCCACGCAGCTTCCAGGCCCCCAGCGACCTGCTCCTGCCCAGGACTGGCCCACTCCTCAAGCCAGCCCCTCCAAGACGGGTATTGTCACTCAGCCATATCACAGGTGGGTAAATGGAGGCCGAGCAGAGCAACTGGCCCGAGGTCATGCACATCAGGTAAATGGTGCAGCGGGGACCCTGAGGCTCAGGCAGCTGCACCCCTGAGAAGGCATCTCCTCACACTCCTCCTGCGCCCAGCCCCGGCCTCTGCTGAGCCAGCAGCAGTGGGCAGCTCCTCTCGGCCCAGCCCTGGAGTCAGCATCACGGGTCTGGGGCATCCCTGACGGCCACATCGCGGCCACTTCCTTCCCTTTCTGCTCATTCATGCCTTGTGCCTCTTGGGCAACCGCGGAGTTCCCAGTTCCCCGTCCGTCACCACGTGAGGGGGTGTGCGTGAACGGGGACGGCGACAGAATCCGGGCAGACGCTGGCTTCCACAGAACCCCAAGCCCACGGGGCCCTGGCTGGGACAGGCAGGGGTCATCTGGCTGCTGTCCAGATCCCCGTGCAGAAAGGAAAGGTCCTTGTTTTAGGAGACAAAGACACCCCCGGTCTGGCAGGCTGGCCAGGGGCCACATCATCGGGGCCGGCCAAAGCCGAGCCACTCGGCCACATCTGCCCGTCTGCCTGGTCCAGGGAAGGGGTGAGCTTGCCGTGGGGAGGGGAGCCTGGGGGCAAAGATACCGCCTCTGAGGCTTTAGGGGGAGCAGGGAGGTACGGGGTCCCGCTGCAAATGGAGTCAGCACCGGGAGCTGAGAGAAAGTGCTGACTCAGCCTGGGCCGCGCTGCCAGACCCGCTGCAGGGCAGGGCCAGGTGCCCAGCACGCCGCGGGCTGCGCCCACCCTCAGAATCCACTTCCTCTGACCTGAGGTCGCCCTCCCACGCCGGGCTTCCTACCAACTGGAAGGCCGCAGACATCACCCTGGGCTCCTGGCCCTCCGCCCCCCTGGAGGAGAGCCGGCCCTGTGTCTTGGAAGTTAGCAGGGAACCGCGGGCCCACCCACGCCCCTGAGCGGCCCACGCCTGGGGCGGTCTGGCCCTCCCATGCACAGGAAAACTGAGACAGATGCGCACTCTCCTCTATCCCGCCTGGCAAATCTCTCCCCTGCCTAGAAAGTCACCCCTGGGAAGGGACAAGCTTCAGAGGCCACAGTGCCCAGGGCCCCTGACCACCCCGGTCTCCTCAGAGGTCAGAGTCTGCCTCCTGCAATGGCCAGCAGCTCAGCTGGGAGGGTCTCTCCCGCTCCTGGGGATTTTAGCCACATCTGGACCAGCTGGGAGGCGGATGGCTGCCTGGTGGCCCATGTCACCGGCAGCACAGGTCTCACGCAGGACCTTCCTGCCTCAGGACGCTGGACTTTAACCTGGGGACCTGGCACAGCACCTGCTCCCACCTGGGTTCCATCACTGCCTGCTGGACATAAGTGTGTCCCCAGCCAGGCCCACCCACAGGAGGGCTGGGGCCAGGCGGCCACCCCCGCAGCTCCTCAGTGAGCCGTAGGCCTTGCTGGCAGCCCAGCAGCTGGCCCAGCCCTGCAGTGTCATGTGATCCCTCGCCCTGCCCCCACCCGGGGGCCCTCTTCTGCCAGCCAGGTGGAGGGGAGGGGTGCAGGCAGGACGCTGAGAGCCACGCATGCCTGGGATGGGGGAGCAGCCACCCTGCTGCACAGATGGGGAGATGCTCCGGCCCCAGGGGGCCGACCCTGTCTGTGCTTTCCCGGTGCAGCAGCGGCAGGCCTGACACAGACTGCAAGAGCGCTGCTGAGCACAGACACCGGTTCACCGCCTGCCCAGGGACAACAGAGGCGCTGGCTCCACCGCCCTGGGGCTCCAGCAGAAAGTGCAGGCCCCTCTTCCAGGGGCAGAAAAGAAAAGCAACCAACAGTCCTGGCATCTGTCCCTGGGACCCGCTGGGGCAGGAAGGGCAGCGCTCTGGCCCCCTGGGCCACCCTCTGCTAGCAGAGCAGACAGCCCGCGTGGGCAGTGCCAGGCCCCCAGGGCCCTGCAGGCAGGACTGGGAGCTCAGGGGGCGGTGGAGCAGAGGGCCCGGCAAACAGCTGATGCGGAGAAAACGCCTCCCCTGAGGGCAGGCGTCCAGGCAGCTCTAGGCAGAGTGTTAGGAGAAAAGAATGCAGCATGCCTGGCTGTGTCCTCAGGGGACACTCCCGTCCCACCCCCAGCCTGGCCCTGGGACCCAGTCGGAGCAAGGCCTCTGAACACACTGCCTGGCCTTCCACCTCTGGGGTCAGTGCGGTGAGGGGGACATGGTGCCTCTGGGGCCCTGGCGAGAGGCCCCCACACCCCACTATCCTTGGGCACAGCCTGGAGCCCTGAGGACGAGGCAGGGAAACTGGGCTTGGGTGGCGCCTGGTCAGTGTGTCACTTGATCAGCCTTCTCAGGGTGACAGGTGAGCAGGAGGCCGTGTCCCTGGCTGGCAGAGAGAAGCAGCTGTAGGCCAAGCCCGGATGCCCTCCAGGTAGAATGGGGGTCTTGGGTGCCCTTCGGGGCCAGACTAGCCCTGCCATCTGCCCAGCGGGCAGTCCACGCCTGCACACGCACAAGGTGCCTTCTCTCCTCCAGGCTCACACACACACACGTTTCCTTGGTAACGACAACTAGGGGCCCCTGGCGCCCCATGACTCTAGCCACAGGCAGTCGGCCTCCTCCAGCGGGGCCCTGGCCGAGGGCAGAGGCGGAGGGAGGAGAGGGCTTCCGCGGCACGCTCCGTGTCCGTGTCCGGCCCTCCCGGGCCTGCCTGCAGAAAGGCTCAGTGCGCTCAGGTGGGGTGGGGTGGCTCTCATGGTAGTGCTGCATGAGCATGAAATTTCCCTCAGGGACCTCATGCACCCCTCTGAGCTGCTGCCCAGGTCCACCGAGTCACCAAAGGTCGCCCCAAGGCCCTCGCCAGCCACCTGCGGGCATCCCATGCCTCTGGGCACACGAGCCCCCTCCCCAGGGCCCGCCGGACCACAGAGCGCCGACTCTCATGGAGCGGTCAGACCCCCGGCTGCGCTGAGCCCTCGGCCTCAGTGCGCTGGTCCGTGAGCTGGGAAGGTGGCAGCCTGTCTCCAACCGGCAGTGGTGGGGTCAAGAGAGAACGCGGACGCCCAGCGACTGTGGGACCGACAGTGGCAGCGGGCAGCACCTGGCACACACTGGCCCCCAGGAATCAGTGATGAACACTGGCGGGAAAAGCCTCGAGGGAAGCCTCCCTGAGACCTGCCTGAGGCCTGGGCACCTGGAGGACGGCCACCTTAGAGAGGATGGGTCACCCTAAAATCCTGCAGGCAGCAGCAGCTTGCTGACTTTTTTTTTTTTTTTTTGAGACAGAGTCTCGCTTGTTGCCCAGGCTAGAGTGAGTGCCGTGGCGTCAGCCTAGCTCACAGCAACCTCAATCTCCTGGGTTCAAGCAATCCTTCTGCCTCAGCCTCCCGAGTAGCTGGGACTACAGGCATGCGCCACCATGCCCGGCTAATTTTCTATACATATTAGTTGGCCAATTAATTTCTTTCTATTTATAGTAGAGACGGGGTCTCACTCTTGCTCAGGCTGGTTTCGAACTCCTGACCTCGAGCAATCCGCCCGCCTTGGCCTCCCAGAGTGCTAGGATTACAGGCGTGAGCCACCGCGCCCGGCTAGCTTGCTGACTTTTTAGCCTTTTGCTCGAACGCAGAAGCCGAGACATGAAGCAGGACTGAGAGGACCGCTCGCTCTCTGCGCAGCCCCGGGCTCCCAAGGTCAGCGAGCCCCATGGCTGCTGCACACCATCCCCACGGACACAGCTGGCGACAGAGTCTGGGCAGGAGGTCAAGGAGAGTGTGTCCGGGCCACGTGAGAACCCACGACTCCTCGAGTCCACGTCCTGGCTCATCTCTTTGACCATGAACCCCAACGAGGGAGGGGGGATGAAACGCCGAGTACCCACGACTCTCCTGCCCTCTGCCTGTCCCCAGTTCCAGCGCGTGCCCTGCACCCTGCACCCCAGGGCATGGACGGGGCCCAGCAGGGACATGAGGGCAGCCCTGGTGTGGGGGGCCGCACTCCTGGTCCCCTGGCACCGCAGCTCACAGAGGTGGCCTCCCCAGGTCTACACAAAGTGCCTGGTTGCCAGGGCAACCAGAGAGCTCCATGACCCCAGGACATGGAGTCTGGTGACCAGCCATTCCATCTCTTCTGAAACCCTCTGTGCCAGGCCTGCTACTCTCGGACCAGGAGAACATGCCTCCAGTGCAGGCGGGCAGACCCGGCCCCGCAGGTCAGCCACAGGCTTCGCCCACGCCCGGCCTCCTGTCCATTCACGCTCAGCTCCAGAATGTCAGGCAGGCAGGCCACCTGGGGGCCAGGCTGGAGGGAGGTGTGGCTAGTGGCAGCCGAAGAAGAGGTGGCCTGGTCCCAATGGGGTGCAGGGTGGAGCAGGCTGAAGGTCCAGGTGCAACACCAACACCGATGACCACGGTGTGCAGCATGTGCGGGCACTTCCTGGGCGCCAGGCCCTGCATTTGGTCCTCGCAACACCCTCCCACAGGCAGGCAAACAGGCGGGCAGGAACTCGCCCAGTAGGGAGCCAGGAAGTAGCCAGCAGGATAGGGATTTGAACCCTGGCCTGTAGGGACACACCCAGGCCTGACTGCAGCCGCTGCCAGGGTCACAGCCCCAGGGCAGAGTCCGACCCCATGGGGAGGAGGGGCCAGAGACAGAGGAAGGGCTTCCTCAGGTTGCACAGCAGGTTGGAGGGAGGGAAGGTCTGTGGACATGCCCTGGGGGAGAGGCCTGGGAGACACCCACTCCCCGAGGTGGCCCGTAAGACCCAGGCCAAGGAAACCGAGTGCTGATGGAGCAACATGCCCCAGGAGCCCAGGGCACGGGCACCTGGAAGGTTCAGGCCACTGCCCTGGCACCTAGTCAGAAAATATTAATCATAGCAGCTGCTCCCTGTCCAGCCCTGACGCTGTGCCAGGCACTGTGCAGACTGCTTCTCAGGTCTCCTGACTCACTGGGTCCTCACTGGAACCCTAAAGGAAGAACTGGCATCGCGTCCATTTTACAGACAAGGAAACCAAGGCTCAGAGAGCAGGAGCACTCAGTCTAGCTAGGGCTGCAAAGGCACCAAAGGGTCCTTTTGAGGAGAGAAAAACCGCCAACGCTACACCCTCAGCCAAGAACGTCCCCAACGCAGGCCCCTAACGCAGGCCCTCGGCGGGTCCTCCTGCCCTGCGTGCTGCAGCCTTGGACTGTCATGCCCCTCCCTCCCTGGCCCACGGGCAGCCAAGACGTGCAGAGGTGGGGATTCGGGTCTGCTCAGAGTTCGGCTTCTCCAGCCCAAGGCGGCAGGCTTCGACTTCTACCTCTTCATTCGCTTTGCTGGAGCTGTGTGTCCAGGAACACGGCGTTTCTGGGGCTGCAAGGCTGCGGGCCTCACCATGGGACAGGGTGGCCACAGCACGGCCGTGCCACGCCGTGGGAGTCGCCTGGGCAGCTAGCCAGCAGCCCCTGGGAACTTGTCCTCAGCTGCCTGGGCGCAGCCTCCTGAAACAGCCCCACCGCCTCCTTCAGAGCTGCCAGCCGAGGGCAAGCGACAACCCCCTGCCCCAACCCCTTCTCACCGGCAATGCAGACGGGGCCTGGAAACATCCGACCTACGGGCTGAGAATGGGACGCCAGCCCTGCCGACGGGCGGTTTAACCTCTCCCAGGGATGTCGCCCGCTCCTGCTCCAGGGTCATCCCTGAGCCTCCCGGGAATCAGACCAGCATGCCCAAGTGTCCCCCACCTTCAGAAGGAATAAGGACTCAGTACCAGAAAGCCTGGCCCCCCACCCCTTCTCTTCTCCTGGGGCACTCGAGGAGTAAAGCAAGAGTGGAACCCGAGGGTCTTGGGGTCGGCCCCTTTGGCGAGGGCCAGGAAGCCGTCCTGGAAGATCACAGTATGCGCGCTGGAACACACGCAGGAACGCAGGCTGAGCACAGGCTGTGCCCACCCAGGGACGGCCTCTGAGCCTCCAGTGTCAAAGATGTTGCTGAGCCCTGGGAGTTAAACCTAAGACCTGCGCCCAGTGCGAGCAGGAGATGAGAGCAGGTGGGCAGGAGGCTGGAGGGAGACTGTCCCCGTGAATACCGAGCAGCCCTCCGCACCCACACACTGCCCTCGGGCCTGCGCCGCCGCCGAACAGCTCGTGCAGTCTAATCGTCTGTAGCGCCTCAGCAGTTCTGTCTGTCAAATGGCTGGGACTATTCGACCTCACAAGGACATGATGAATGCACATTACCGCGGGGGCTCCCAGGACATGCTTGCTCTTTTTAGCTAGTATTTTAAGCCTGTGAGGTCCAGCTGTGGACTGGCTTCCTCCCGGAAGTTCCCGTGTCCTCTGGACCAAAGCACTTTCCTTTTCCTCTGGGCCAGAAGCATCCCTACCCCTTACCCGACCAAGGGGTTTCTGGGCTGCCTGGCCGGGCCACTCCAGCGAACTCTGCCCTAGCCTTCTCTGACCCCTTACGGCTCCTGCACTCGGCAGGCACCCCACACAGCACACAGCCTGTGTTCATATTCTGGCAGTGACCCTTCTTGGCCGTATGGGTGTTCGGGTCACGGGCTTCACCTCTCCGGCTGTCAGTTTCCTAGAAGGTAGGGTTGGCACCTCAGCCGGGTGGAATGAGGTGGTGGTGGCCACAGCTCTTGCCTGGCTGACGCAGTGGCCTGCTTGGAGACAGGAGCATGGAACCTGACCTCCAGAAAGCACAGGATTGCGCAGGCCAAGCTGGGTCTGTGGTGGCTTGGCTCAGAATTGAGATGACAAGCGGATGCCCAGATGTGCGAGGACATCTGGCAGCCCAGAAAGGGAAGGACTGGGTGGAGGCTTGGTGGGGAAATAGCGGTGGGGGGGGGGAAGGAAGGCAGAAACTGCCTGGTGGTTTCCAGAGAGGACAGGGACTGCAAGTGGGCCGCTTTAGCTCTGGCACGCTTCAGCCACCAGGAAATCAGCCCAGGATGGGGACGGGGGAGGTGCTGGCAGGAGGGACAGGGACTTCCCCAACCCCTCCCCTGGGCCCTTGGTAAATGGTCATTGTGTTCGGTTTCCGGCAGTGGCCTCCTCTCCTGCCTGGACCCTGGCTTTCCTGCCTAGCCAGAAGCTTCCCCTTTGATTCTGAACGGCCGCCACAGGCTGGGCGAGCAGAAGCCCTTTCCCAGCCCCCTGGCAGAGGTGGAGCCCAGCTCTGCCTCTCCCCAGGTCCCTCAGGGATGCAGACAGACAGAGGGTGGAGAGAAAGCGGCCCCACCCCGGCAGGAACCTGCCCGGCCCCTGTGAGCTCTCTGCAGGCCAGGACCCTCCCAGCACACAAAGCGAGAGCCGCTGCCAGGCGTGATGAAAGCCAGATGAGCCCTGGGCTGGTGGCAGGCCTCCCCCTTCAGGGCTCCCTCTCCAGCTGCCAGTGAGGACCAGAGCTCCGGGTGGATGAGTGCTAGGGAACACTCCTGGTCCAGCCACCTGCCTCACTCAGGAGGAAAGGGTCTCCCAGGCCTGGGGTTCCCCAGCAAAAGCTCTCCCCAAAGCTGGGCAGAGAGAGACGCGCTTTAGCCAGGCCTGTCTAGGAACTGGGACCTGAAGAGGCTCAAGACCCAGGCTGACAATTACATACAACAAATTGTGGCCTAAAGTGCCGACAGGGACCCTGTTTACAGCACTCGGGCTGGGGACCTTCACTGCTAAGGCTTTGCCTAGCCAGAGCCCTGACATATGTCCTGAGTCCCCGACCCAGGATGGCCTCTGTCCAGGCCCCACACCAGGCAGAGCAGGGAGAGGGGCCATCTCTGAGTCCCACTGCCTCGGCTGCATGGAGTCTGGTGCACAGTCAGGCGGGAGGCAGGGGGCACTACCCGGTAACCAACCCATGGCCCCCTGTCCAGGGCACACAAGAAACAAGAGTCCCAGCCCTCATCTAGTCACCCCTGCCTGCGTCTGTGACAGGCACAGAGCACCCTTCTCTGAGCCCTCTCAAGCAGGGACAGAGTCAGGGTGCTGGCGCGCTTTCTAATCAAGCAGAAACAAGTCGTGCGAGGGCTTGAGAAGCCCTGGCCCCCTCACAACCAGACACGTAGCCCCACAAGCTGGAGGCCCGCTGCTCCCCAGCACTGCCCTCACCCTCCTCTGCGCAGCCCTGATGTCTCCCTGTCACCAGACCCATTCTGCCCCAAGGGAGGCGCACTGGAAGGGCCTGGGGTCCCAATCACCTCTAAGGATTCTAGGACTCTGCCACCCTCCGCCACCTGTCCACACCCGCACCCCTAAAGCCTAA